TTGAAACCCAGGACTGGCTTATGTGGAGCTGACGTGCGACAGCCCGCTGGCTTAGCCCTTCTTGCAATAGTGCAACGATTTGTGCTGCTTCTGAAGGTGTAGAATCCCAGGTAAAGTGTCAAAAGAAGCCGAGATGTGTATGGATCAACGTGTGAACGCAAAAATCCGAAAACACGTCCTTTTATAGGGGGTAAATAGGCCGCAACTCGCGATGTATCAAACAGTTGGTACATGTCTTTTTTCTTACTTCTTCACATCAGCCGGGATATCTTTTTAAATACCGGTGTGATTTAAATGAATTTGGTATCAATTTAAAGTTAAAAGTTTAATCTTTAAAATGATTTTACTTTTTTAGTTACTAAAAAATTCGTTACTACACAAGATCGCGTGGAAACAACTTCATGTAAGTGATTCCATACTTTTGCTCGCGAGTGTAGATTTATATTGTCACTTAATAGATTGTATACCTACTGTATTATTTACATTAATTTTGTTATCGTAACTTTTGTTATTATACTCATTGTATTTAATATTTTAGCAGATTATTATAACTATGTGAGATTTACCTAAGATTAGATAGAGACCTAAGAATTAAAAACGACAATCAGGCTCATGTTCAGTAAATAAACTCTTTTCGCTATAAACTATAAAACTGTTTAAAAAAAAACTCGAACATGATCTTGCTAGTGTCGTCAACTATTTATTGTATTTTTCTGAGATATAAAAACAATATTTAAACTGTAATAAAAGATAAAATATAAGATACACTTTTTTATTCACACTTTCCTATATTTTTATAGCCTACAAAAAAAAGAAAAAAAGACGTTAATAAACCTAAACATACCACATTTGTGACTTATTTTTTATTTCAACAGAGGATTTGAAAGTTATTTTTACAAAAACAGTTTTTGCACAAAAAATACCACTTAAAATCACATGAATGACTCTATAAGTAGTTCAATGATTTGTAAAAGGGACAATGAATAGAGGTAACGGAACAAAAGATTGCCCCTCCCTTATTTCCCATTGAGTACACTCCACCCTATTGTGTTCCTGCCGCTTTTATGTGTAGGTAGACACACTGCGTAGCGATTTGTATTTTCGACGCGACTCACAACCGACTCCGTGGCGCAACGGTAGCGCGTCTGACTCCAGATCAGAAGGTTGCGTGTTCAAATCACGTCGGGGTCAAATATTATTTTTTAAATTTATATATTTTTGAATTTACTTGAAGCAACTTTTGATTCTACAAGATAATATACAATGATAATTGCAGCTTCTGTATATTGTATTTATAAGTGCGTTGTGTAACCTATTCAGTATTTATTTGTCTCAGGACATTTCATTTTTTTTTTTTTTTAATTAAAATTATGTATATACAAGCTTTATAAATAAAAAATTTCATCTAAATCGCTACCTTGGGGGAAGGTGCCCAATTAGCTTATAAATGAAATTGAAAATTAATATGTAGTATTACTTTTATAGAAAAGGACAAAATTAATTAATAAAAAATAATGAAAACAGCACATGTAAATTTATAATTTTTATTTAGTTATAATAATATCATTGATTTCGACACCGGCGGATTGCTAGCGGGTATTACAACCTAGGAAGTCGGGACACAATGGAAACGCCCATAAAACTACACATGTAATAGATAAACATCCGAAATGGATTCCACAATACAATATAATACTTTTAAATTCACATTTTACACTGATTTGAAATTTATCATACGTGTTATACTTTCCAAACCAACTTTCCATAGGGTCATACACCGACTAAAAACAATATATCTGGCCTTCTCCTCTAAGGCGTAAGAGCAAGCGGCACGCTCATTGTTAACTCTAGCACTAACCTATAGCGTATACATAATTATATACAATTGTAAGTGGCAAGGCTGTCTAGATGTCTACAAACTGACGATAACACTATTACGGTGCGCTAGACTTCAAAATCGTGTGGCAAATCAGTTCAGTTATTTAACTAATAAAAGTAGAGATTTGGTATATACTATATTATTTGGTTTTAATAAATTTTAGTTCATAATATATTATAAATCTTCCCTGTTTCAAGACAGACAAAATAAATCATACATCAAATGTGTAGTGTGATTTCCAAAAGCTTAACGTTAATATTTTATAGAAAACATTTAATAGATGCTAAATCTATAATTCATCAAAAATACAAGATTTATAGTGAAAGAAACGGATAAACGAAGCGTTTTTATAATTACTTACATTTAGATCCATCGTAATCATAATCTACTAGAAAAAAGAACAAACAACACACAATAGAAAGATTAAAATAAAATGTTACTTAGAGATTGCACGAAACAAACAATTAGAACAAATTATTTAGCTAAGCTCAACAGGCTAACTATACTAAACTAGGCTAACTCGTGGCAGGTGAATATGGTAGTCGTCGGTCCAACCTTACTTCAACAGCATTGAGTTATAACACAGCCGTTCCCTGCGGACTCCATGCTACCCTCAAGGTGCAAAAATTACGTCAACACATTTTCTCTTCGTTCAGATTTATATTTGTATAAGTCAAACCAATGTTCTTTAGTTCTGTTCGATATCTACTTCGATAAATATAGGGTAGACAGTTTATTTTTCATTATAATTGCTTTGTGTGAAGAGAAAACGTGATGTGTCATATTATTTTTCACTCCTATTTGCTTTCTTAACCACACAAGAAGTATGTAAACCTGTATGTAATAATAATCAATTAACAGAAAAAAGTTCTATCTAGTAAACTAGTAAATAATCACTCTATTTAATTGTTAAATTAATCTAAACAGTAAAAACGATACCTGGGTAGTGCTTAGTACTCACAACACTAACTAAATAGGTACTGAAAAATACAAAATTATTAAACGAATTGGTTAATTTTGTATCCAAATTAATGGGATTTTTAGAACTATTTATTTACCTATGGATTTAGCGTTCAAACCTTAATCTAAAAATAAAAATAACTATATAATCATTAGCTGCTCCTTTTGTGCAATACAGCAGAGTCACGTTCTCCGTTAACGAACAAGTAAATTAGTTGACATTAATCAACATGCGCCCGCGTTTTCTAGGGCTCTTATTTATTCAAAGATAAACACCAGATTAGCATAAAATCTAGTTAGATCGAGAATGTACCTGTATTTCTCTACACATACATAGCTTTTAAAATTTTCTCCATTTAAATAGTCATTATCAATTTATTAACAAATACGAGTAAAACTATCATTAATCATGAGACATTCAACATCGAATCAATATTATAAGGACACATCAATTTACTAAAACACCAATTTTTAACTATTTAAGAATATTTTTAAAGACACAGCTTGTTGATTTTCTTCCAAAGAAGGCATTCTTTTATTACAAAAAATATTCATTGCGGATAAAATTTTATTGAGTTACGAAACGAGCACAGACTGTAGTAATTAATCTTCTTTGGACGAAAATAGACTTTATTGGGAATTATTTACGTTTACTTTAGTTCGGTAATACCAATGGTCACTACGTGGGGCGTGGAGACATCGACAGAATATTAAGTTAATTTAATATTTTTAAAGATCAATAATAGGTATTTCAGATATAACATGCTGTGTTTCTGAACTAAGAACAGTTTATAGTATGGATAGAGATATAAAATTAGACAATATATGAATACAAAATAGATTAAAGTGCTTAATTCAGATAAGAAGGTTAATGTTAATAAAAATGTCTATTGATAAAAATTGGAAACACTTATTGAAGTTATTAAATCCTTTTTATTTTCCTAAAACAACGTATTCTAACTGGCAAGACTGAAAACGTAGACGTTCTATTACCGATTGCATACTTACTCGGTATAATCAGTTTGCATTTTAGCAAATATAATAAATCATTACAAAATATTTTTCCACTAATGATATGACCATAAATAAATAATATGAAAATACAAATAATATTTGCGAAAATATTGCAAGTATTTTCCTGAATTTATGAATAATTTCTCTGACTGAATCACATTTTCAAAACTTCCAATTTATACAAACATTAGCTTTAACTGAAAATTATTATTAATTAAACATTGCACGTACTTTTCAAAATATAAATCGTCTCGAATACTGTAAATTTTTATTAACGAGTAACACTATGAGTGCAAGTATTTTATAAATAATTTTTAGTTTAATCTATAACCTGAAATAGCTAATGTGATATTTCAAATAAAATGCCTCTGTCGATGATTGAATCGGTAAGAGACTCGTCGATATCGATTACATTGTGGATACTTTCTTTTAAAAACAGTACATCATGGAAGGCAAAAAGATCTACTATCACTGTATATTGGTTTAGAAGTTTAAAGGATTTTGAATCATGTCTACAAGGTCGGGCATTACAGTGACGGACAATGCTTTTATTTAGGGTAAGGTAAGAATTGAAAAATTCAACTGATGTAAAAACCTCGTTTACCAGGTACGTACTCAGGTCGCTAGGTCAGGAATCATTTTTTACTGTCCGTTTGGGCCTATCAAATATAACGCCACAGAATAAACAATAACTGGCGTTGCGTTGTCTATGGGCTGCTGCGTTTGTCTATGGTTGTCTCGTTGATCACTGCGATTCCGTCTATTTCGATCATGGTGATATTGGTGTCTATTGTGTCCTCTGTAATTTCGATCATAGTAATATTGTCTATGGTAATCCTGTTGCCGATGTAGTAGTTGAGCCAGTTCTTTGCGCTCGTGCCTTATGCGCTGATGCCGTCTATGATGTCGTCTATGATCTTGTCTATATCGGTCGTGACGTCTATGGTGAACTTGTCGATGTCGGTCGTGACGTCTATGGTAAAGATGACCCACGCTGAACTGTCCCACCAAACTCAATGACAGGGGGGCGCTACCATCGTTCAACTATATGGTTTCCAACATGGCAAAAATCGGAACCAGCGATCCGGTATTGACGGTGGCGCCCCACTGTCAATGTCATGCATAGGACAGTTCAGTATTTTGGAACTATAATCTTGTCGATGTCGGTCGTGACGTCTATGGTGGTTTTGTCTATGGTGATCTTGTCTATGACGTGTATGGTCGTGAGGCCCTGTGCGCGCGCGCAATCACATGTTCTGCCAGGGCGCGGTGACGAGCATGTTGGAGTCGAGAGCGCGTGCTATGCGCTCGTGCACGCCGTGAGAGAGCCACGTCATCCGGAGCTGTTCATAGCGCTCCGGGCATAGGTGCAGCGGGTTGCCGCGGCGGAGACCCTGAAAGGGAACAAAGATTAAAATTATTAAATTTTTAGCGTTAAGAGTTGCATCTCAAACTAATTTTGAAAATTTCGACGGGTTCATTCAGTGTCTAAGTAGCTCAGTTGGAAGAGCAGTCGCCCGGCAAGCGGAAGGTCGTGGGTTCTCTTAGGCAGTTCGACTTCTTCAATTTATTTATAATTTTCAAAAAAGATTAAAATTTGCCAACTGATAATTAACGAGTTGTAAGTGACGCCGCGAAGGCTAGACCTTGCGTTACATTTATGTATTTTACCTATTAGAATCACTTTGACAGACAAAAGCACTCTAACGACGAAGCCCTTTTGACCATTAGGTCTGCATTACCCCATCTGATGAATCGTCAACCACAGATAGACTGCCTATCTTACTTTAAACTGCTATGTACAAACTTGCTACATAGCATGCTGCATGAGCTAGGGCAATCATCCTCAGGGACATAGTAGCGTCTTTCGAGCGTCGTCGTCTTACCAGCGCCCGCGCAGCGTCGACGTGATTTTACGCAGCGCTGGTGTCGCTTCCACGCGTTGCCGCACATTTTCTTGGAAAAAGTGAGTTGGGAAGGCATTATAGTCAGCTCACCTGGTCGGTCTCGCCGTAGGAGTCGAGGTAGGGCGCGGGCAGCAGTCGTGGCTCACCTGGTCGGTCTCGCCGTAGGAGTCGAGGTAGGGCGCGGGCAGCAGTCGTGGCTCACCTGGTCGGTCTCGCCGTAGGAGTCGAGGTAGGGCGCGGGCAGCATGGCGCCGCGCGCGGGCGCTGCCAGTAGCATAAGCTCACAGTCCCGCACGCGCAGGAAGACTCCCGCTCCGGCGCCGCAGGATAGCGCGTGAGCGACGCCCGCTCCCACGTGCTCCGTGCCGCCGCTGCGGCCCTGCGGCACAACAAAACAATATTAGCTTCAATCAGAGCGCATATCGCAGGTGGATCGTGCCCACAATAAGGATGTTTCCTGGGTCAAAAAGCAAGAGTTTTAATTAGTCCGTCAGTTAACTTATTAAAAAATACTCTACACGTATTTTTCACTTTTTCAAACTAATGAAAATTTAAAGAGATAAAGCGCGCCAAAGTTCATAAGAAGAGGCCCGTGACGTCAATGCGTGCATAAAAGTGCCGCACGTTGTGACGTCGTGCGGAACTTCAACGCACCATAACTATGTAATTATTTGTTAGATTGACAAATAAAAATATACATGTCCAATATTTTTTGATATTAAACATTACGGACTAAAAAAATTTTTTTAGGAAACTAGCCTATTGACCAAAGTGACCAAAGCTGAGGGCTTAGTCTTCAGTCTTCACTAGTGACTGCGTAAAAAATGACATTGAGGATGGTTTTAGAATCACGCTGACGCACGCTGACCGTCAGCGCTGACGGCCGAAATGTATGGTGCGTCGGCGCCGAGCGATCAGCGTCACTCAGGAACGTTCCCTTTAATTACATACATTTTGATGATCAGCGAGCGGTCATCGCGATTCTAAAACCCGCCTAAATGTATGACAGTTTTTTAAAAAAAATTTAACTATCATCTAAGGCACGATTCACCTCCGACAGTGAGTGCTTGCGATAAACAAGTTTCACAGCACTACAGAAGGTATCATCATCATCAGATTTTAGAAACTAAACAGGATAGGCGGCCCTGTTGCCTTTACCAAACACTATAATCCGGGTCTCTTTAAGACAAGAGTGAATAGGAATTTACTGGGCAGATATACAGGGTGTCCCGTAATGTACAGCCTTGGCCAAAAGTATTGAGCACCCCCTAAATACTGCTTATACATGATAACTATAAAAGATACTCAAAGATATTTGATAAAAACCTTTCCTTGACAGGTTTTGAAACATAAACTCACGGCACAACGTGCAATAAAACACGTTTCGAGATGTTTAGCTATGATACTGTAGTATTGTTAGTCTTTGAAAAATCATAAAAAAACTTCTTCCGACCTCGCTGCTGAGTTATCAGCTGAAATTAATACGCCAATTTCTGCAAGAACAACTCGCAGAAGACTCCAAGAAGCTGGGCTTAAGGGCTATACAGCCAGAAAGAAGCCATGGCTCTCAGAAAAGACCAAAACAGCTCGTTACGAGTAGGCTTTAAAATACCAAACTTTCACTGAGGAAGATTTGAAAAACATTGTGTNGAAACCGGTATAATATTATTCTAATATCCGTAACCGTATCCATAACCGAAACTTCATATCCTTATTATCCCTGTTACCAAGTACAAGTGCAGGCAGAGGAAGGACTTTTGTCACAGTATGTCATCTACTAATTCCTGTCATGGTGACAAAAGTTTCTGTGAATTTTGGGCACATTAGAATAATAATTTTTAACCAAGGTAAATAAAGTTAAAAATTTTTAACCAAGGTAAATAAAGTTAAATAGTCCCGCTATTTCCAAAAAACCAAAAATTGTCGACAATTACAGCAAAAATTTACCAAGTGTTATACCATTTTGGAATCCTTACTAAATGCGCCAAATTATGACGTCACTTGCCACACTCGCGTTTTACATTTTTTTTTCAGTACAGTCAGTTTAAACTAGGCAAAATTTTTATTTTGAATTTTTTTTTTTGAGAATAATGTATTTTTNAGTTATAATGACGTTAAAAAACACTCAGTCCGAAGGGTATGATGGTCTATGCACAAAAGTTCTAAAAATGTGTAAAGATGAACTTAGTCCTGTGTTGGTTTTTTTAGTTAATTTGTCATTACACACAGGACAATTTCCCGAAAAGCTAAAAATTTCCACCGTGAAACCATTATTCAAAAAGGGCGATAAAAAAGACATATCTAATTACAGACCAATAGCGATTCTCTCGGTTGTATCAAAGGTTTTTGAGAAAGTCATGCATAATCAGTTGACATCCTTTTTTAGTAAATTTGACATAATTAAAAAATACCAATACGGCTTTCAAAAAGATAAANTTTTTTTTGAGAATAATGTATTTTTTTCATCCAAGCTGGAGCAGCTGGTTTTGTAATTTTGATAACAATTTAGAGAAGCATTATTCAGGGTTACATAACAAAAAAAAATTTTGGAAAAAGTGAAGATTTGTGGCAACACGAGCAAAAGGACCGTCACCTGGAGTAGAATTTTTAGATTTTTTTTAAATGCCTATTATTTTTAAAATATGCCACATAGATTTTTTTTTTATATTTTTCTGATAACCAGCACAACTTGCCTCAACACCCAGTTCCGGCTTGACGTTACATTACGGGAATAGATGGCGCTACGTGCCATGTAAACATTGGCTCCGTATAAAATTGTATTTTAAAAATGTAAATTTTCGACGTATTTGAGTGAATTTATTAAAAACATGTGAAGAACTGTCTAAATACCGTGTGAGAGTGTTATCCTTCAAAAACAAACAATGATGTGTGAGAAAATGGACAAAAACTATTCTGTGAAATCTTCAGTGAAAAGTGACTGTTATTTGTTAATCAACATAAAACAAACATAACCGTGGGTTTTCAAAACGTTCAGATAAACTGTATGAAAAACAATAGTGAACTGAGTGCTATACTGTGGACAAATTTCCAAGATAAACATTGGTGACTTTAAATTTTTCGTTATTTTTATTTAAATCTTTGACAGTGCCATTGGGAATATGAACACTACTGCACTAGTTAATGAGACCATATTCGCGTGAAGTGTTACGTCAACGCCATCTATTGACATCGGATCAATTTCATCCAACATATCGACGTTTCATTGATTTCGATTGTGATACAAATAGTACCAGGCTCGGCCGGAAGATGGCGCCAAGCGGTTCAAAGTGTATGAAATGCAACAAAGCTATTGTAAATAAACAGCTTTTAGTGTGTTCAGTATGCAATAAATGCTTTCACTTGGACTGTACAAGCGTATCATTTCAACGCTTTAAAATTATGACGCCAGCAAATAAAAAAGGTTACAAATGCGACGCATGCTACACAGTACCAAATACAAGAAGAAAATCTCTGTCTCACCAACCTACAAGCCCTGCTCCTTCCATGAGTAGCTTCAACGACGAACAAAACAATATCACACATCGCAACAAGTATGAAATAAACATATCAACGAAAAACTCATTTGACTCATTATCAGATGAGGAAGCAGAAAACTCTTCTTTGATATTTTCACCAAAAACTGACTTTAACCGAAGTCTTTCAACAATGCGTGCCAATTATAAAGAAGAAATTAACGAATTAAAACAGAAAACTCGGAAATTGGAAGAAAAACTTGAAATTGCGGAAAATGAGTTATCGATTTTAGCATTGGAAAATCACACACTGACAAAAAAGCTTGCGGAATACGACTTGAAAATTGATCAGCTAACACACATTTGCAAAACTCCAAAAAATACGAAGATTAAGAAGAAAGCAGCGACATCGGGCGTAAAACAGTTGAACTACTCACGCGCAGACGATCACATTTGCAAAACTCCATTAAGCACTAGCGTCAAAAAGAAAATAGCGACATCAGGTGTAAAACATCGGTACCATTCTTGCATGGAGGAACTACTGATACATCAAGAAAAAGCGACGACTGATGAACGAACACTAAATCCACAAAATCTCAACAATTTGTCAACAGAGGGTGCTAGTACTGCAAAACACACAAAAAGCCAGATTCATATTATTGGAGATGAAAAATTGAGAGGGCTATCAGCCCTTTTCTTGAAATCTAATGTGGAACGACGGCTAAAACCTTATCAAACCAGTGCTCATATCATCCCTGAAGCCACCAGCACCGAAATATTGAAGCATTGTAAAAGTTTCGGGAGATGTTTGAAGCGTGATGACATTGTAATATTGGGCTTTGGTGGATACGACACCGATATACATAAACTACATTCAAATATTTGTGTTATGTTGAACGAACTAAACAACGCTTCTGTTATTATGTTACCTATTTATTATAACTCTTGCTTTAACGAAATGACACTAAATTATTATATAAAATTATGGTCAAAACATTTTACTTTCTGTTCACATATTGACATGTATAAATTTAATTCTAATTTTAATTTTAATGACATTGAATTTAAAAATTACTTAATTGACAAAATCATTCATTGTATCAACTATATTAAATACAAGAACCATTATTTATCATATGAATTTATACGAAATCACATTAAGTTATCAACTATACTCTCAGAACAAAGTAAAAAAGAGATCTCTCAAAAAAGTATCGCCCCTAAAAAGGGTACGATACCCTATTATTTCAAAAAAATTGACAAATTAAAATCAAACTGCAGTCACAAATCACCAAATCCTATCCAGTGCCAAAACGAGACATTTTTTCGAGCCTAAAGCCAGTAATGTAATAACTATCCTGCACCAAAATATTCATGGCCTTTTATCAAAGAAGGAGGTCATTGAGTTATCTTTTTCTAATATTAAACCTGAAACAAGTCCTGATGTGTTATGTTTCACTGAAACTTTTGTTAGGCGTGGTGATGAAAGTAACATTAACATACAAAACTTTAAATTAGGATCAAATTACTCAAGACAAAACAAAAGAGGTGGATCTTGCATTTTAATAAAAACAGGATTAGAATATAAGAAATTAACATGTTTTGATGACTTGTCTGTGGCACATCACTTCGAATGTTGTGCAATCAATCTAACTACAAATAATTTAATTATTGTATGCATCTATAGAATTCCATCAAAATCTAAAGGACATGTTGATTGTTTCTTTGAAAAGATTGATATGTTGCTGCATAGATGCTTAGTAAAGTTTTCAAAAAAGAAAATAATTGTTGCTGGAGATCTAAATATCAACATGCTAGAAAAAAATCAAAATACAACACGGCTAAATGATTTCTTAAAAAAATATAACTTTTTACTGCATATTAATGAACCCACAAGAGGAAATGCATGTCTCGACTTAATACTGAGTAACACAGAGGGTGCAATTGCCTATGTTCTGACTTTGTGGTTATCAGATCATGATACTGCACAAGTATTAAAATTAACCCTAAAACAAAAACATGAAATACCCAGCTCTATATTTACTTTTAAAAAGTGTTATTCATTAGAAAATATTTATAAATTCAAAGAATATTTAGGTAGTCTTTCTTTTTCTAATGTATATAACCAAATTGAATTAAATCCTGCTTTTGATGAATTTTATGATATATTACTTCTTATTTATAATCTTTGTTTTCCGGTAATAAGATCGAAAAATAGTACATCAACTAAACCTAAATGGATATCAAAGGGTCTCAAAAAAAGTAGTATTACAAAAAGATCACTCCGTTTCAAATACTATTCAAATAAAAATAATGTAAATCGATCCAAATACATTCACTATAACAAGTTGTTTAAGAAATGTATTAACTATTCTAAAAGACTAACCAATCAAAAATATGTATCTTCAAGTAAAAACATATGCAAAGCAACATGGACGATTATAAAAAATGAAACAAGGGGGATGTGTAATAAAAACTATATAAATAACATAATAATAAATGGGGAGGAAATTACTGACCCTATGAGTATTGCCTCAACATTTAACAATTATTTTATTAATGAAACCAATAAAGCAAATGCAAATATAGAAAACACACTAAATAGCAACCTACAAAATAGTATTTTTTTGACACCTGTAGATGATGACTACATTAAAAAAGTTATAATGACGTTAAAAAACACTCAGTCCGAAGGGTATGATGGTCTATGCACAAAAGTTCTAAAAATGTGTAAAGATGAACTTAGTCCTGTGTTGGTTTTTTTAGTTAATTTGTCATTACACACAGGACAATTTCCCGAAAAGCTAAAAATTTCCACCGTGAAACCATTATTCAAAAAGGGCGATAAAAAAGACATATCTAATTACAGACCAATAGCGATTCTCTCGGTTGTATCAAAGGTTTTTGAGAAAGTCATGCATAATCAGTTGACATCCTTTTTTAGTAAATTTGACATAATTAAAAAATACCAATACGGCTTTCAAAAAGATAAATCGACAACGCATGCGGCATTTGACTTAATAAATGATGTTTTACATAGTGTTAACATTAAAAACTACACAACAGCAATATTCTTAGATATGTCGAAAGCTTTCGACTGTGTATCTCACGACCAACTATTACTCAAACTTGAACGCAGCGGAATAAGGGGGCCTGCTTTAAATTGGCTAAAATCGTACCTTATTAAAAGAACACAATATGTAGAGATCACGCAACTGGATTCAAATTCAGTTGCTCAGACATATAAATCGGAACAAGAAATATATAAATTTGGTGTTCCACAAGGAAGTGTGCTCGGCCCGCTATTATTTATATTGTACATAAATGATTTGCCAAACGTAACGGAACAAAAGACTGTACTTTTTGCGGATGATGTATCGATTATAGTTACTACCGACAAGAACTGTTCACTAGATCAACATAAACATGACATCCTAAATGCAATGACATCAGTAATTGAATGGCTTGAAAAAAATAACCTTACAATAAATTTATCAAAAACTCATATGATCAATTTTAATAACTTCAAAAATCAAACAGTTGACATATATTTTAATGGACAAATTCTACGGAACGCGGATAATGTAACTTTCTTAGGCTTGATTTTAGATCCAAAATTAAATTGGGAAAACCAAATAGAGAAGGTTTGCAACAAAATAAACGGTTTCGCTTTTGCTTTATACAAATTGACTAAAGTTGCAAACATAAATACGGCCATTACTGCTTATTATGCGTATGTGGAGTCAGTTTTAAGATATGGTTTATTAATTTGGGGAAATGGAACTAACATAAAAAAACTATTCATCGCCCAAAAACGATGCATCAGGGCTATATGTAATATAGCACCTGATATATCTTGTTTGACATATTTCAAATCGCTTCAAATACTGACCCTACCATGCCTTTATATATTAGAAGTGAGTGTGTTTGTTAAAAAAAATAATCACAAGTTCTTACAAGCGAAACAATTATACCCAAGATCAACGCGAAATTGTCAGAGACTGGTGTTAGAAACAGTCCCAAAAACACGAAGATTTCAAAAAAATTGTTATGATATGTGCAAAACCATCTATAATAAATTACCATGCAACATTAGTGAACTACCGTTAAATAGTTTCAAAACAGAGTTGCGTAGATGGCTATTAGATAAAACTTTTTATTCAATTGACGAATATTTGAAATTCAGGTTGTGATAAATATGGTTGATACACTGCTTGATAATCTTTACTACTATGCGCTTGTAAGTTACTACCTAGTTTGTAAGTGATAGAAGAATACCGGAAGAACTTAAGTACTCCAAAGCCCTATATTTAAAAGCAGATTGACTTGCTGGCTTTTGGACAAATGTTTTTATAGTTATAAGGAATATTTTAATTGGCGACATTGATATGTATTAATTTAATTTTAAATTGACATTTTCTTAATTATTTGACATACTATTGAATCCTGTAATTTTTGCACGTCTGCGAGCAGACTAAACACATGATCCTATTTAATATTGTCACCCTGTATAACTGTGTTTTTGGCAAATAAACGTTTTGAATTTGAATTTGAATTTGACACCCTGTATACAGTCAGCGGTTTTTATCGGTTAGGAATTGTCAACTTTTGGCTACTTTGGATGTCACGTACTATTTGACGCTGACTATACCACCCTAGATTGCACCTCACTTAACATTAGATCAAGTACCTAGCCTTGTACTGCATAAAAAAGGCCTGGTAGTAGAGCCCAACACAACCCCTCCCTGCATGTAAATTAAACATAAATTTTTTTTAAAAGATTCTCACCTTCCTAATTTCCGTCTGGCAGCAGTAGCTTTGTGAGCACAATATCTTGCTGCATACGAGACACATAGTAGGATACTTGCTATCCTCGCGCTCGGAGTTGGGACACGAGAACTCTGAAACTATGTTCATTAACTCCGAGAAATCTTCAGGCAACGGCACTAAACGAGGCGGCTCCACCGGTTCTAAGAGCACACTCATTGGTGGCCATTCTGTGGTCAACCCTAGCCATTCCCGCATCTTCTTCCTAGCTAGAGGAGCGTCTAAAAGCTCCCTGAACGTCATAGGCAGGTCTAGATATCCACACATGGTTTCCCAGGTATCCCCGCCGACTACCGTCAGCTCTGTAGGCGGCATTACGTCACTTAAAAAGTGGAAGAACAGGCAGCAGCAGCGAAGAAAGCCGAGGCACTGGTTCTTGATCATATCCCACACTTCGGTTGGATTAAGATTCTCGTCGATATTTCCTTGGCGGAGTTCGCCTAGTAATGGTACTAAGTTGATCAAATCGTCAGGTCTTTCGAAGTCTTCCTGGCCCTCCATGGGTTCGCTTCGGCAGTTACTGAAGTCCATGATAAGGAGACAGCGCATTAGCAGCGCTCTGAACGCCTGGATCGTCAACATTCTTGCGAGATTTGTCGGTCTGGCTGGTCCAGCTGGCTTGCAGAACAGTGCAGGTATGGTTAATACAACCGCAACGAGGGTTCCAAATGGTTCATGGGCTAACGGTGAGGTATGCTCAAGCGCGTGCAGCGAGCATAGCGCGTGGTGCGCCAGATGCCTCGGGCTGGGCCAGGCGGCTGGCGCGGCCGCTGCGAGCCTTATTAGCACGTGCAATGCGTCGCGGTGTCTTGCTGGTAGCTCGCCGAGTAGCGGGCGATGCTCGGCACGCAGCACAGCGCAGCAGCTGAGCACGCTGTAGGCGGTGGCGCGGTATAACGCGGCGAGAGACGTCATCCCGCCTGATTCTGTTAACCCGCATATGGGCGGCAGGATCTGTGGAAGGTATACACAAACATGTATTTAAAGTGCTCTTCATTTGTTCCGATGAAACAGAAGCTAAAGTAATGGAGTTTTTTTTGCCAATCATCACAAAACTAACCAATATTTTATCCTAAAAGACAGGTAATACATGTAAATGTACAAAGTAATACGAATTTGAAGCGTAACACACTCGAAGCTTGTGTTAAAACTAAAAATTTCACGAAGAAACGTTGTCAAAATGGAAACAATTTTTATAAATTACTTTGTCACTCCTCTCGTATCTTTCATTCTATTATTAAAATATACATTCTCACATTGACCTTATAAGATATTATTTACCAATAGAAAGTTTTCGAAATTGAACAATATTTGCAAAAGAATTTACAGTTTGTTACTCGTACCTACCAACGACGTGACAAAATGCATTACTTCCTCCTACCTAACCAGGCTCTGGTATCTTCAGAGCCCACATCAATTTGAACTTTATGCTGAGAAGATACGGTTGAATACCAATGCCTTTTTTAGGCCAGTGGTGGAATTGTGTAAAGCAATTGTAATAATTTGACAGTTCATAACGTACGATAAAGTCAGTTAAACAAAGCCTTTGACAAATTAATCGTACGTTATGAACTATCAAATGGTAATCATTTTTGCTTCACACAATTCCACCACTGGTTAAGCAATCCTGATTAAAAAGGGTTCAAATTACTTTTACGACAATTCATGACTAATTCTAATACTCACACTGCAGAAGCTCTCGATCAGCGACTTGGTCTGGTCGTGGTACACCGGCACCTCGTCCTCAAAGAGCGCCCTGAAGGTTAGCGCGAGGAGAATCTATAAAAGCTTTCACCTATTTGTCTTTTATAACCATTTCAAATACTCACGCTGCAGAAGCTCTCGATCAGCGACTTGGTCTGGTCGTGGTACACCGGCACCTCGTCCTCAAAGAGCGCCCTGAAGGTTAGCGCGAGGAGAATCTATAAAAGCTTTCACCTATTTGCCTTTTATAACTATTTCCAGTACTCACACTGCAGAAACTTCGATCAGCGACTTGGTCTGGTCATGGTACACCGGCACCTCGTCTTCAAAGAACGCCCTGAAGGCTAGCGCGAGAAGAATCTCTATAAAACTTTCACCTATTGGCCTCTCATGACCATTTTCTTATTGAAGCCTAAGCTTTATTGCTTCATCAAGCTTTATTGAAGCCACGATAGCCGAAAGGTGACGGGGTCGGTCTGGCCGACTCGTGATTAGGGAAACGCGAGTTCGATCTCTGCCGCCGCTCGACTATTGTGATGAGCTCACTCGTGACACAAGCATATTTAGGTTAGTACGAGGGGCTAACGGGAATAATCTTTAAAAATCTGATACTCACACTGCAGAAGCTCTCGATCAGCGACTTGGTCTGGTCGTGGTACACCGGCACCTCGTCCTCAAAGAGCGCCCTGAAGGCGGGCGCGAGGAGGTTCTCCGCGTGAGTGGACACATACACCTCCGATTCGTCTGAAGCCTCCTCCTCCATGTCTGAAGACATCGCTCCCACGCTTCGAGCTCGCGCCTGGAAGGGGTTTAAACTTGGTGTTGGAACATTTTTTGAACAAATGCACAAACTAAGTCCCATTATGCTGGTTGCAAGTCGAGTGTTTGTATAAATCGCAGTCTACAAATATGGAAAACAGCGTCAGCTATGCGAGCTAAACTAAACTGACCTAGCTAAGCTTCTTCTTATCGTGTCGACAACAAACCTACATAGTGTCAGCCCAGAACTCCGATACATGTCAGCAGCATTCATTAACTTATCTCTTGTTCTGCAACCGGCATTAACACCTCGAGTTACGCTTAATATAATGCGGGACTACCAATCCTCGGCAAGTCCAGAATCGGCTGTCCGACACCGACACCATTTGATTGTTGTCACCTCTTTGTATTGACGACTATAAATAGTAATAGGGCACATACTTGACGAATATAAAAAGCGTCGCACTATGTGCGCTACGCTAAATACATTGAATGCGTTATCTCAAAAACAGTTACTAGACCAAATATTTCGTGACAACAAAGGAAGCATAATGTAATTTCAGCAAGGTATTTNATAATGTATTTTCAGCAAGGTATTTAAAACATGCCGTGTGGTGACGGCAGAGTAGAATACATTTGTCACCAACCCCTACTCTTCCCGCGGGTGTCGTAAGAGGCGACTTAGGGACTACACATCAAACAGAGAATGGGCAGCAGCACTCTCTGAAAAACATCAATCTTTTAAACTGCGATCTCCAACCCGCCTGCCAAGCGTGGAGATTATGGCAAAACCCTCCACTATAGTGGAGGAGGCTCATAGTCCAGCAGTGGACTGTAAAGGGCTGTTGATGATGATGATGATTTAAAACATCACAAGCGTCTGTAGTCATATTATCAGCATATTTGCATTCTACAAGGGCAATTTATTTACAGAATTAACTATATCAAATTATAAATTAAATAGGTATGTCACTCATTCGTAAAAGATTAAAACTAGAACACCAATTTATTTAATAGTAGAAGAAGCGAAATGTCAATTTCTATAAATCATTATTGCAGCATAACACATGCAAAGCCACAACAATTAGTTTTAACAATTGATTGAGTACTTACAAAGGCTATATCGCCATCGTAATTTTTTAATGTTAGCTGTAGAAAAGAGAAATGTGTTACTCTCAAAAATTGGTTAAAAACAGATTCGTTCGGGAAATAAGGTGGGTTAATGCATACGGTGGCTATCACGTCGTCAGGTATAGTCTGGTCTGCGAGCACGTAGAATTTTGTCTAATGACCCCAAGCTACCCATCCTTATCGCTCGCGCGTAATTATATTGCTGTCGCGACTGTGCGACGCGCGCCCGCAATGAGTGTGCGAGCATTGGACAAAATTCTACGTGCTCACAGACCGGGCTTTAGCAATGATAAAATAATGTATTATGTATTAAAGAACAAAACGGGGCCGGGCTTGGTGGAGTGTATTGTTAAAGCAGACATGATATGCAGTTAGTCATTGGAATAATGTGTCAATATTTAACAACTTCTATTGAAAGGAAGCAGTAGCATTCAAAACCCCCTGTTTTTTTTACTAAAGTGAAATGTTAGGTGCTCAATTTTTTCTTCACTAAAAATGAAATGTTAAGTGCTCAGTGACTGCGAAAAGGTTAAGGTAATCAGTGCCAGTGCACTATTGATGGTGCTGATCCAACCCAAGTCACAAGGATGTCGCTTGATTTTATTAGTGAGTAAGCCATGGCTATCTGGCGAGGAGCGGGGTTACTCCAAAAAACGTCATCCAAAGCTTCGTATGTTGCCATCCCTCTCGCACAAAGCGAGATGCCAGCATGGCCGAAGGTGACAGATAGATCCGAAACTACGTAAGCAGCGTTTTGGAGTAGCACCCCTGATGTCAAAAAATACAGCTAAACAAAACCTTTGAAATGGAGGCTGTCAATAGTGACTGAGTTTCTTGCGCTGCTTTTTCTCAGCACTGGCCCATTTATTGCCCCGAAGCAGTGGTAGGGTTAATATTGGGACGTGTAAAAGTGCTTATTAAAAGCCTATTTGCAAAAAACGTAAACGAACCAAAGTCGCTGACATAGCCCGACGGATTAGCAAGCTGAAGTGGCAATGGGCAGTGCACATAGTACGCAGAACTGACGGCCGATGGAGCAGAAAGGTTCTGGAATGGAGGCCGCGTAGCGGAAAACGCAGCGTGGGACGTCCACCTACAAGGTGGACCGATGACATCGTAAAGGTAGCAGGGAAGCGCTGGACGCAGACCGCTGCCAATCGATCAACATGGAAAGCATTGGGGGAGGCCTATGTTCAGCAGTGGACGTCCTATGGCTGAAATGATGATGATGATTGCAAAAAAAACTAACTGACCTGTTTGTGCAATTCCTCGCACATTTCAGTGCAGACGTGTGCGGGACTAAGCGCCACCTGGTGACGTAGTGACAGAATAAGTCCGGAGGCGATGGCATACGCCTCCTCCGTAACCGGCGGCGGCGTTCCGGCGGGATGCGCCGGCGCCGGCAGAATCGGTAACGCCGTGTTGCAAAGTCGTTCGCAGAGAGGGCATAGGTATTCCTTCTTTTCGACGTCGAAAGCGGCCGGCTGGCGGAGGCGGTATGGTCTGTGGAGAGATTATGAGTTACTGTTTTGTTGTTAGGTGATTTTATGACAGATATCGACATGTGACTGCAGCTATAGTCCGTGTCAACAGAAGATGATATTTTGGTAATTAAATATGAGCCATGGGCCTTATAAGACGGCTCAAGGTCACCCAAAAAACGAGGAAAGTTCTGGAGTAGCGAACATGGATCGGAAGACGTAGTGTAGGCAGGCCTTCCACTCGGTGGACGGACGATCTAGGTCGCAAAAATGATGGATGTGGGCAGCGCAAGACCAGTTATTGTTATCTTTGTCCATCAGTGGATATCATTTGGCTGACACGAAGACGAATTATACCGTTGTCTATTATTTTGTGGTCTTTGTACTGGGCGGCGGATCTTGAAGCCTTGGTTGCACTAGTCGAGTAATTTAGTAGATGACACGTCAAAAATTAAAGAGAGTTAATGCGCCGTGACGATGCTGCGCAGGCGCTAGCAAGGCGACGAAGCTAAGATATGAAGACTCTTGAAAGACGCTAGTGTAGAAGATTCCACAGTGATTTATAATGTACAAGCACATAAAATCCAGTACATAAGGCGAACTTAATGCCACCTGTCATTCTCCTCCAGTGATGCAGATTTTTCTATTTAGCTCTAAGGTAAACTGGTAGAGAATGCCTTATGGTATTAAGTTCGCCTTATATGCCATTAAATGCTTTGCTCACCGTCGGTTCTCCTTATCCAGCACGTTATCCAGATACTTCCGCCAGCAGCGCGCGTGCAGCGCGTGCCCGCACGACGACACGTGCGGTTGCGCGCCCAGTCCAGCCGGTAAGTGCGCTGCACGCCACGCGCCCGGCCGCCGTCCGTCCGAGCCGACGCGCGCGCGGTTTAACACGGAGGAATGTTGCACGAAGGCTACTAGGACTAGTGGCGCGGCTGTTGCTTCTACGCGGGCCTGGAGAATACATAATAATCACATAAACGGGACTATTCCCACCTCTTGTTCCCACCACTGCAACTCCTGTGTAGCCAGGATCTACAGCTTGACCGCCACAAAAACCCAACCAATGAAGGTCAAGTTTGTCCCGGGGGAAAGTTAAACTGTCATTGGACTCGCAACGAAATTAATCAGAAGAACATAAGAGTTCGAAATTAAGGCTCGACTTCCCTCCATTGCAAAGCGGATGACAGGTGACAAAAAAAGGTTTAAAACCTTTAAGAAAAGATTATGCACCACGGACAATAAATTAAATTAAGGAGGCCTATCTTATGAGTAATTAGCTACCTGCCAATAATATTTAATACAAAATCGCTTAAAAGCACGGGAATTGTTCCTTGTCGCGACAAGATCGATGTAATAAATTGCGGAAACAGATGTATGTTGTATTTAATTAAGCATTATATCACGATAATAATCACATAAGGTGGACCGACGACTTCATGATAATAGCAGGAAGGTGCTAATACAGGCCGCTACCAACCGGTCATTATGGGAATCATCGGGGGAGGCCTATATTCAGTGGACGTCCAGTGACGGAAATGATGATTATATTGACAACGCGAAGCGAGCATCGCTCACAGAGTATAATATTTGACAAGCGACATAATTTTGCCGCGTGGTAGTGTTCAGAATAGAAACTACCACAAAGATTGCGATCACAAAATCTCAGTCATATATTATTATGCAAAATTCAGGCCTTCCCAACCCGTCATCAGATCAGTATGAGGAGTAAGGGCGAAGGCAAATGATTCTGGTAACAAATGATGCTAATCAGGCTATATGTATAAGCCCATCTGGCCAGCGTAGGGTGTAGGCCAAATCCTTCATTTGCCTCTGGTATATTAGAGAGGGTTGTGTTCCTGCAGTAGACTGAATGAGCTGATGATGAAAACAATAGTTTTCTTGTTACAAATAAAGCTGCATAAACGTCAAGTTAGCGTGGAAAGTGTAGACCAAATCCTCTATTTGCCTCTGGTAAACCCTCTAAGGTTTGTGGAGACTAATGCCCGTATTCACCTTCGTCTTCGTTCGTTTGAACAAAGAAGCACGAACAAAGACGAAGGTGACGGACATAAGTGGCTTGTTGTAGAATGCGCGCTGCGACTGCAGTAGACTGAATGAGCTGATGATGAAAACAATAGTTTTCTTGTTACAAATAAAGCTGCATAAACGTCAAGTTAGCGTGGAAAGTGTAGACCAAATCCTCTATTTGCCTCTGGTAAACCCTCTAAGGTTTGTGGAGACTAATGCCCGTATTCACCTTCGTCTTCGTTCGTTTGAACAAAGAAGCACGAACAAAGACGAAGGTGACGGACATAAGTGGCTTGTTGTAGAAAGCTTTTATTGCGCCATTTTATCGATTTTGGGTGATAAACCTACAGGATGGAAACGATAAGTGATCTCACTCGATTATTTCTAAACTATACAAGATATCGAAAAACTGGTTACTGATCCTGAAAATGCTTCATGAGTTCTATCAAATGGTACCAATGATATGTTACAGAATAAACTGGATCTATCCGAAAATTCAATGTTTCCAGCTTCCATACATTTAGATAAGCCTCAAAAGTCGATGAAGCACCTGATGTCATGCCCTGAGTGCCCAAGCAACTGCACTCAGAAGGATTTGATTAGTGCTACTGACAACGCCACTCTTGTGGCGGAGTTTTGGGCTGACACTGTGTAGGTTTGTTGTCGACACGAAAAGAAGAAGAGCCTCAAAATATTAAAAACTATTAAAGTTTTTCGATAACCTGTGTAGTTTAGAAATAATCGAGTGAGATCACTTATCGTTTCCACCCTGTATATGTTTGTCGTCTAAAATCATCGATAGGATTTTATCACGTCGCGCATCGTAGCCCTGATACGATGGCTCACCTCCTCCTGGCACATGATGCAGACGCGCGGCGCGTCGGGCACGCCGCCGCCCCACACGCCCAGCGCTGAACCGCAGTATAACGAGCGTAATTCCTGCTCCTGGTTCTCTGGGGGCACCTGGAATAAACGGGTTTGTATACGAAAATATGGCGCAAGTGCACTATGCGGAAAATTTACCGAGACAAAGCGCTACCGGAAAACAAGGTGGACCGACGACATCGTAAAGGTAGCAGGAAGACGCTGGACGCAGGCCGCTACCAATCGGGCAGCATGGAAAGCATTGGGGGAGGCCTATGTTCTATACACTCGCCAGCAAAAATATGGAATCACCCTATTTGTTTAGAGCGATCACAAAAACTAAAAGACTGATAGAAGACAAATAAAAATGGTACCATTTAAATAATTATAAACTTTAAATTGATACCACAGATACATACATAATCATTCAGTTATTATGATCGCTCAAAACACAAGGGGGTGATTCCATACTTTTGCTCGTAAGTACAGATGGCGCTATTCTCTTCACAGACATTTCTTTATCATAATCATAACACATCCGCTACGTAGCTCAATATGCCACCTTCAAAGCACTTGAGGCTACAATAGTCATGTAATTTAATGATAATTTTTAAACTAAAATATAGATTTATCGACTGTTCAAAGTAAGCTCTAAAAACAGTCATGGTTTTCTGTAAAAGCAACCTAATTTTCTACCACACAAAGTCTAAAATTAATTGCACCAACCTCAGTGACGGTCTCCTCGAAGAGCGTAGCGTTGTTGGTGATGAAGTTGTTCATCTGAGCCTTCATTTGCGCCATCAGTTTAGCGCGCCTTTCAGCCGCTAGCTTCGCGCGACGGGCCTTCTCCGCATCTAAAACATACACTTATGTAGTTGTTTGTGAAAAGGGTTATTTACGCTACTATATTTTTTAATCTAATGTGCCGTCAAAAGGATTTTTTTTAAATAATCTTCTAAAGCAGTTATCAATTTGACACGTGCCGCCGCCGCCACGCTGCCCGCAAATTTCGAGGCAGCGGCCTAAGTCCTTGTCCAGACATAGCGATAATCGTGCAGTTTTTGGGCATTTACATCATTTTTTTCTTGTTCCTTTTGATGTAAATCAAACCGTAGTCGCAGTCGCACGGTTACCACTTCAGTGTCTCGCCAATTAGAAGCGCCCAGAAACGGCGCGGTTATCGTGGATGTCTGAACCAACCAATAGGGCTAATCCAAAACGCTGTTTACGCAGTTTCGGGTCTATTTGACTGTTGCCCGTGCTGGCATATTGCTTTGCGTGAGAGAGATGGCAACATTCGAAACTTCAGACAAAGTTTTTCGGAGTAACCCCGCAGGCCTAAAAGGTGACAATCTTACTACTTAATTATGTTACAGAGGTGGTAGGTATGGTATTATTTTAAATGCAATTATCTCTAGCGAGCCTGTTGGATGTGTCGTTACCTGCAGCCTCGGTCGACGCAGGCTTCTCTTCCTGATCCGCGTCCATACTCTCGCCATCGCCGATGTGTTCGTCAGTCGTTCCCAGCAGCGATCTGGAGACAAAACATATTTTGTAAGGTATTAACGGAGTTTTGGGCTGACACTGTATTGTATGGGTATGTTGTCGACACGATAAGAAGAAGATATTTGTAGCTTTGTCATCCACTTTGTACTGGAGAAAAGAAGAACGGTCACGCCCCATACAAAAAAAACCCAGACCCGACAGAAACGAGACATACATCAGTTTTTTTGTCATGTCTTAATTAGTTAAATTATATATTTTTTATATTCGAAATCTATGTATAACACCAAAATATTACCCTTTGTTTTTGTTCAGGCGTTATACAAAAACTAATACAAAATGCCTATTTATCACCAAAATTCGTAAATGTATGTACCTAAATGTCTATTAAAGCTGCTATGGAATGTATCTAGGTGACCTGGAGATACAGCCGGATTATACAGGGTGGTTATACATATGGAACGATAAGTGAACTCACTCGATTATTTCTAAACTATACAAGATATCGAAAAACTAGTTACTGATTTTGAAAGTGCTTCACGAGCTCTTTCAAATGGTACCAATAATAGGTTACAGATTATGGAAGCTGGTAACATTGAATTTTTGGATTTTGTAACTTCTCGTTTCCACCCTGTATAATCCGGCTGTATCTCCAGGTCACCTAGATACATTCCATAGCAGCTGTAATAGACATTTAGGTACATACATTTACCAATTTTGGTGATAAATAGGCATTTTGTATTAGTTTTTGTATAACGCCTGAACAAAAACAAAGGGTAATATTTTGGTGTTATACATAGATTTCGAATATAAAAAATATATAATTTAACTAATTAAGACATGACAAAAAAAATGAGGTATGTCTCGTTTCTGTCGGGCCTGGGTCACAGATGACCGTTCTTCTTTACAGGACTATGGCCACCGCTACAACTCCTGTATAGCCAGGCTAGTATCTACAGCCTGACCGCCATTATAGCCCAATCAATGAAGGCTAGGTTTTTCCTGGGGGAATTTGGGAATTGAGGGAGCTGGGAGAGTGGTTATGACCACCTTATTTCCCTGTTGGTGGTCAACTCGATGCACTCGTGAAGGGTCCGCCCACAACAGTTTTAATCACGTGTTTTCAACGTTGCCCTGTGGTGGGTCACAGTTCCAGCTACCCATTTCCGTTTCTTCCCTCTCTCTCCTTAAATGGCGATTTTTTGCGTTAGAACGAGACGACATGACCGTAAATGGGTAACTAGAAGTGTGTCACATAGTACGACATATGGAGGCGGGGTTATGTCTCAACCTCAAGCAAGAAATATAATTTTCTATTTTATTTACTCACCTCATTTTAGCTAGAACCCATTTGGCCAGCTGCTTGTGGGCGTCCACGCGTGGGGAAGCCGCTAATCGTTGTAGGAGAGCCACCAGGCCGCAACGAGCCGCACTCTCCGCGAATGCTAGGAACTCGTAATGGCCGCTCAAGTCTCTATGAGTCGGTCTTACGTCTCAAGATGTACTAACTGCTAAGCAACTCACCTCATCTTGGCTAAGACCCATTTGGCCAGCTGCTTGTGGGCGTCCACGCGTGGGGAAGCCGCTAATCGTTGCAGGAGAGCCACTAAGCCGCATCGGGCCGCGCTCTCCGCGAATGCTAGGAACTCGTTATGGCCACTCAACTCTGTATGAGTCGGTCTTACGTCTCAAGATGTACTAACTGCTAACCAACTCACCTCATCTTGGCTAAGACCCATTTGGCTAGCTGCTTGTAGGCGTCCACGCGTGGGGAAGCCGCTAATCGTTGCAGGAGAGCCACTAAGCCGCATCGGGCCGCGCTCTCCGCGAATGCTAGGAACTCGTAATGGCCGCTCAAGTCTCTATGAGTCGGTGTTATGTCTCAACCTACTAACTGCTGAATAACTCACCTCATCTTGGCTAAGACCCATTTGGCCAGCTGCTTGTGGGCGTCCACGCGTGGGGAAGCCGCTAATCGTTGCAGGAGAGCCACTAAGCCGCATCGGGCCGCGCTCTCCGCGAATGCTAGGAACTCGTAATGGCCGCTCTCCTCGTCGCGTAACGCGTAACCGATGAGGTGGAGAGCCTAAGGTAAAAAAACAACAAGATTAAATACATAATTTCACGATTCGAGAAGTCGAATTGCAAATGTCATCAAAATTTGAGCCTTACTAACTCTCAGTAACGGTAGCCTTTCGGTGTGACCGTCAGTTACCTTTTTTATACTCGATGCAAAGCCACAGACAAGCTCACATTGTCTGTCACTGAAATAGAACATGAAAAAGGTGAAATGTTGGATTAAAGTTTGTAGAGGTTTTTTCTTGGTAGTTGGCTGTTACACATTGGTACGTTGACAATAAATCAGTGCGTTGACAGCAGTCCTGTGTTTCACTCGCATCCTCTGTGTTTCTATACTTACCATTGGCGACATAAATAAAGCACGAATGTATGTGAAATGCGAACGTTGATTTTTTTTTGTGATGGGCCGGAATTCACGCGGTTGTATAGTTTGGTCTGCGAGCACGTAGAATTTTGTCCAATGACCCCAAGCTACCCATCCTTATCGCTCGCGCGTAATTATGTTGCTGTCGCACTCGCACAGTTCGCAAGGTTATCGCCACTCTATATTATAGTGGCGATAACCTTGCGAACTTGCTTGATAAGTGCATATCGATATAGATTCTCAGATGCTTCAAACTTGGAGTGCAAGTGTGGTTGTGTTCCCCAGCCGATGAAGCACATGATGTCGTGCCCTGCGTGCCCAAACAACTGCACGCAGGAACATTTAATGAATGCTAAAGTCTGGTCGCCGAGCACTTAGAATTTCGTCCAATGACCCCAAGCTACCTTTCTAAGGAAAGGTAGCTTGGGGTCATTGGACGAAATTCTACGTATACGCGCGAGCGATAAGTCGCTCGCGCGTAATTATATTGCTGTCGCGACTGTGCGACGGGCGACCGCAGTGAGTGTGCGAGAGCGACAGCAACATAATTACGCGCGAGCGATAAGGATGGGTAGCTTGGGGTCATTGGACAAAATTCTACGCACCTTGTGCACTTGCGGCTCGGAGAAGGACCGCGCGCGCAGGTCGAGTGCGCGCTCGAGCACGGTCCGCAGCACGTGTAGCGCCGCGTCGCTCTGCAGCAGGCTGGCAAGCAGACGGAACTCCGGCGTCAGCTTCGGCAGCGGCGGCGGCGGGCAGCACTCTTGGAGACCTAGAGACCGACGAATAAACAAGATTTAAAACAGAACTAGGCCTGGGGAAACATTAGACACATAAGTTCATTCTGAAGAAAAATCTCGGTTCTTTCTTCCGCCTCTTAACCGTTAAAGAGTATAAGTTTTACTACATAAGGTCAATAAATATCCAAGGTTTAAAACAGAACTAAGCTTAGGGGTACCATCAGAAACATAAGCAAATTCTGAAGAAAAATCTCGGCTGTTTCCTCCTGCTCTTAACAATCAAAGAGTATAAGTTTCACTATCGGATTAACAGCATAAGCTCCAGCAGAATCTGCCTGCCCTACGCCCTGTTTATAGTCTTTTTCACGTAAGATGATTCGTATGACGTTTCGAGTTTGAAAGTTATAGAGATGTCACATAACTAAACCATAGCGATTTATCTATCGATTTTTTTCTAAGAGTTAGTAAAACCCAAAATATTTATCTAAAAGTATTAGATAAATATTTTGTATAAGTGTTATTTAACAAAAAACATGTTTTTTTAAATTACAAATATTATTGTAACATTTTTTTATTGATAATATTCAAATTCCATAGACTTCATGTTCAAAAAAACGATTCCTAAAAAGTACTGGTTCTATTTCTTAAAATTAAAAACTTTTATTTATTTTCAATGCGTTTATTAAAGTCAACAATCGAAAAATATAGTTGATTTTTGTGATGTTTTTAATAACTAAGTATTCACTGCAATCGATTAATGAACCGCGGAAATAATCGATTTTGTTATTCAACAAATACCCCAGCACTAAATCTATTCCGTTTCACACATTGCGTACATTAAAAAAAATATATTTTTACATCGTATTTAATTAAAATATAATCAATAGACTCAGATTTTACTATATATTTCAAGACAAGTAGTTAATTATTTTTTTATTATATTGCTAATAAAATACAAATATTTTTTCAAGAATATTCTGCGTATGTAGTATGCGTAATATGGATAACCTTAAAGTGTCATACGGATCATCTTAGGTGAAAAAGACTATAGTTACAATCACGCGACACTAACTTGGTTACCAGCGTACGAATGCCTTCGGAAGGAAAATGTTTATAGTGGAGACCGTAATATGATAGCGTTAAAACAATAACAACACCCACCTTGAGCCTTCCTGCGGTTGCGCTGCTCCTCTTCACTACGCGATAGCTCCTCGCGCGTGTAGTGGTAGTAGAATGTGTTGTATTCATCGTAGAGATGCAGGGGACACATCATACAAGTAGCGACCGTAACATGATAGCGTTAAAACAATAACAACACCCACCTTGAGCCTTCCTGCGGTTGCGCTGCTCCTCCTCACTACGCGATAACTCCTCGCGCGTGTAGTGGTAGTAGAAGGTGTCGTTATTCGTCATACAGGTACGGGGACACTTCATACAAGTTTTGACCGGAACATGATAGCGTTAAAACAATAACAACACCCACCTTGAGCCTTCCTGCGGTTGCGCTGCTCCTCCTTACTACGCGATAACTCCTCGCGCGTGTAGTGGTAATAGAAGGTGTCGTATTCATCATAACGATGCGGAGGACACATCATACAAGTCGCGACCGTAATATGATAGCGTTAAAACAATAACAACACCCACCTTGAGCCTTCCTACGGTTGCGTTGCTCCTCCTCACTGCGCGATAACTCCTCGCGCGTGTAGTGGTAGTAGAATGTATCGTATTCGTCATAGAGGTGCGGCTTGAGGCGGTACACGCCGCGGTTGGAGCCTCCCGGCGGCTTGTTGAAGTCGGCTACTTCGTGGATCACCGCTTCGAGGCCTGTCTCGTGTAGCTGGTCTTCGGGAAGAGACCTGAGAAAATGCTCAATGTCAATTTTGAGTGTACGGGTGGAAGCCCTAGGCTGTATGTAGTAAAACAACCGAAACTGATCAGTGTTTCTGTACTTTATTTGGACCAATAACAGTTTTATAACATGATCTTATAAGATTAAAATTTGTATTATCCTGCACATACCGCTTTGCTTATAAGGAACAAATTATATCCTACGGCTACCACAAGTTTTGCTGACAAGGAAAAAAACTCTTCTGTCCTACCCATAAAGATATAGAGAGATGCCAACTAAAACGCTGAGTTCGAAACTCAATGCCGAATTAGAAATTCACGCACGCAAAGTAATCCAAAATATGGGCTCATTATCCCCTGCGGTATCAGTACTCAACGTTCGAATAATCTTTAATACTATGCAAGCAATGTAAAATTGTTTACATTATGACGTCGCTGCTGTCATCATTGCTGCCACGAGCAATGTGTTCTGTTTTAGGGCATATTGCTGCGACACCGGCCACGCCCCCTTATCACATCTCCCTTTAGTTTCTGTTATCTGTGGTCCTACCTGTAGGGTTACCTACCTGTTGAGCTCTGAATGCGGCATGGGCTTGACGCAGAGCATCTGTATGATCTCCTTCTTGGTGCGGTCCGCCGCCGACACCGCTCCCACGCCCGGCACCCAACGGGAACCCACCACTGCGGGACAAACCACAAATGAAGACCACACGGGAAAAACAAAAACAAAAACTACAATTATGAGAATAACAGTTTTTAAAGTAATTTGAAAGTCTATATTTCTTTCATTTTAGACCTCTTTTATGTGAAATATTGAAACAACTTATTACTGTGTTTAACATATGCTTTGTCTGTACTTCTAAAACTCGATTTTTTTAAATAACTTTTAAGTGATGGTTCATAACATAACCGTGTCTTGCCATGGACAAACAAACACAAATTGAACTATTACAGTTGACTACGATGATTTTTCCCAATTCTGATTTTTGAAATAGAATATTTCCAGGGTGTCCACTGCAAATGTTCGAAAAAATTCCCTGACTTTTCCCTGACTTTCCCTGACTATTTTTTCAAAATTCCCTGACCAACTATGTATACGTGTCCCAAAATTCAAGGATAAGCCGACGCCACAGGATGGACATAGTCATGACTACTTTAGGAAAAATAAGAAAAAAATCTATCTCAATTATTTTTTAACTTACACAATAAATTATGAAATTCAACGAAAATTGACACCCCATATGATATTTTACATTACCACGACCACAATTTTTCAATTATTCCTGGTTTTCTGTTTATATCGGCAACTTAAGTAATGCTGCTGTTNGGCTAAAATCTTTTTCAGAAACAAAGCATGTAGTTTTATCAGATTTTTCTTTGTAATGTCACGACATTCCTTTTGTATATTTTCGCTTTTTAAGACCCAACGCCACTGTAAGCGAGGCTAAAGATACTAAAATGATTGTAATAGTTTTTGGTGCCTTTTGATTTTAAATTACAGTCACTATCAGCATTTCAGCCATAGGACGTCCACTGCTAAACATAGGCCTCTCCCAATGACTTCCATAATGACCGGTTGGTCATAATGAGCGGTCTGCATCAGCGCCTTCCTGCTATCTTGATGAGGTCTTCAGTCCACCATAAGGGTGGATGTCCTATACTGCTCACTTCTTCTTAGTCGGGCAATCTTGTCAGAGTGGTCGTGGTTGAGCTGACGAGGCACCGGTTTTTGGCATCAATGAAAAATATTGCAAAAACGGGAAAAAATATTCAAACCATTATCACGCATAGGTTCGCGGCAAAACTAGCTTCCAAATAAAAGACAATAATATCTTCACTTTAAGTGTAGTTCCGGGTTTACATTTCCTCTAGTTTCCACATTTTGAAGATGTTCCTTTGAGGTTGTCAGTTTCGAGACACAGAAAAGGATAAGGTTTCCAGTGAATTCATATTTGGACGTTAAAAGAGGTTATTATTGTGTATACTAGCCTTTTCCCGCTGTTTCACTTGGGCTTTGGAAGGTTTTTTTTATCCACAACGAGGAAGATAAAGGCCTGCATCTCACAAAGTAGCCGCTAGGGGCGCTACACAATATGTCATACAATTAATATCATTTTTTACGCAGTCGCTAGCGAGCACACGTAACGTAAACTCATGTTAAGCACACTGATGGAAAGTGACGATCAGGCCGAAGGTAAAACCTGGAATCCTCAACCAAAGACTGGCAATCATACCTCACAACTGCCGGATCATAACAATACTGTTAACGTTATTATGGCGACAGACTTAGGTAAGATGGTGGTAGCTAAAATGTTGCCCCCATTGGGAATCGAACCCAGAATCTCTGGGTCTGAAGCAGGTGGTCTTACCAGTAGACCACAGAGGGGAAAAAGATCAAAGCCGTATCATGGTTGTGCCGTGGATGTAAACGTGGCCAGCTAAGTCCTCAATTTTATTTGCCTTAGTCATTAAGAGAGGGTCATGCTCTTGCTTGGTTTTCATAAATAAAATATAAAACTAGTGTTTGTATATTACTATGTCTATTAGACTCATCTTTATTAAAGAAAATATTTTAACTGGAAACTTATTCTGGAATATTCGTTGATGGTATTGCCAGACGTCTAGACGGAATGTTAGTTAATTGAAAGTTTCTTTTTTCAAGATTAGACCATTTTTCTTCTTCGAATACCAAATTAAATTAACGACTGCTTGAGATAGACTTTATGTCAATGGATTTGGTCAATTTTAGGCAACTGTAGAGAAAAAATGGATTTAATAGAGACTGAACTCTCATAATTAATGAATGAATAAATTTTCTTTCTAAAAAGGGCGTTTCAGTGTGCTCACCATAATTTACATTAGTGTGCTTGCTAGCGAGTGCGTCAACAAAATGTACGAAAATTTTAGTTCTTGAAAGCTATTCAAATGGTCAAACATTTAATGTCATTTTTTTATGCTTCAACCACACCAACGCGTGCAGATCGCCATCGCCATCGCCGACGCGATCACGGCGCGATCATAGGCCAGTGACAGGTCGCGTGGACTGTCATGGGTCGCGCGACCTGTCATTGGCTTTTGATCGCGCCAGCGATGGCGATCTGCACGTGTTGGTCTGGTTGAAGCTTTACGTAGTCGCTAGTGAGCACACCTGATGTAAACTCATGGTAAGCACACTGGTCCAAATATAACTTGCGCTTCCAAAACTATTGATTTTCAATAAGAACACTACAACCTTTCTATCCAAAGTATACGTAGATAATCCTATAGTCAATTTTATTGCATCAGTTCATGCATACCAGTTGTGGCATGACTGACTGATGGTAATTCAGGAAAGATTTACAGCTTCATGATTTTCATGAATCATAAATCTGCTGTATTTACTGAAGCTCGTTTATCATCAACTAAATCCTAGATAACTTTTGATTTACCCTTCAGTTTCGACTTAGTTCAGTCAAATTTTATTATTCAAAACAAAATGAAAGGAGGTCATTAATAACTTATTTTATTCTTAAATAGCTTTTGCCCACAGCTTCGCTCGTTTCCACAGCAATCCAGTGTGTTTCCAACACACATCATGACGTGTTTGAAATTAGAATTAAAGTTTTTTGCGGGATACTGAAAACGGGATATTCCTGTGAGTTTAAAATTAAAACACGTATCTAAACGGGATCTTGTTAAAACCGGGATGTATCCATTGGAACAAGCTCTTTGGGTTATTTACCCCATCAAGACCGCGTAACTATTGATTAAGTACCTATTGTGTCTTGATTCAAAGGGCTTGAAGATGTAACCTAAGTATAAAATTCAAATTAGTTTATTCAGTACATAATAATTGGCCCTTTGTAGGGTACTTATACATGTCCCAAATATAGCTTGCCCTACCCCCACTTCGGGACAACATATGGGCTGGTGCTGAAAAGTGGTGGAGGAAACTCAGTCACCTTTGTTTTGTCACCGTCGCACAAGCTGGCATCTCGCTTTGTGTGAGAGGGATGGCAACATTCGAAACTTTAGTTAAGGTTTCCGAGTAACCCCGCTGATACAAGGACCAAAGGAACGCATAACCAGCTATGTACATGAAAAACTTCGCTTCTAATCGTGGTACAAAAAAGTAATATCGAAAGTTTGAACAAATTCCAAACGGTCATAGTTCCATAAAAAGGTTCATACACGTCCCTAAGTTTTCCACGATTTCCTAGTTACTTCCGCTTCTTCTGGCAGAATCACTTCGGGCTAGTGTTGTTTATCGGTAGTCGATAGTAACGGCAAAACCTCAGATCATAGAAGGGAATAGATGTGAAACGGGGGCGTGGCGCGTGTCTCCGCGATATGCCCAGAAACGAACATCGGCCGCGTAGCTAGGTTAGTCGCGATTCAGTCGTACTAAGGAAATGTTCTCCGATATTTTGGATAATGCGTCGTTACGTGCAATAAAACAAGTGAAACGAAAAACTACAGGAACAATGGAGTCATTTACTACATGTAAGTATTGCAAATCCATTGGTATTTTGCTTATAAATAAAAAAAACTAAATATTTTTACGAACGAATTCAGTGCCGTAACAGTTACTGCGATATCGAAATCAGTGGTGATAAAAATTCTAACACGCTTGTACATTGACGATTTAGTTAGCAACCACTTTATGTCATGCTCAACTACTGCGCAATGTATTTAATTTATCCGATATCCACTGTCGTGTGAAAATACACAGTGCGGCCGCATGTGCCGGTCGTTACATAGTGCCGTGCTCGTGTTCTAATGCGGTTTCCTATTATCGATAAATAGAAGTAAATCATAATTTTCTATTTGGNATTTTTCAATTATTCCTGGTTTTCTGTTTATATCGGCAACTTAAGTAGTGCTGCTGTTCACCACAACTCTTAAAACCCCCAGAATCCTTGCAGTTTTTACACAAAAGTTAATCAAAATATTTTATTTCCTTAAAATTTTGAACGATTTTTACTTTCACTCCACTTTGACTCATCGTTTTGTAAAAAAAAAGTATGAACACTACTGCGGCAAGTTTTTTCAAAGTTGACGCAACTAGGGCTTGCAATATCGGATAGTTTTCAACTCCGGAACTGATTTCCGATATTGGGCACTCAACTCCGGAATTCCGGTTCTAGTTCCGGAATTGGTCATAAAAANTCCAGGTGACCCCTCTATTTCACTGACTTTCCCTGACTGCTATGAGCTTCCCTGACTTTTCCCTGACTTTCCCTGACTTTCCAGAATGTGGACACCCTGATTTCCCTAAAAAGCTAACAGATGGCATTAAAAAGTCAGTTTCACAAAAAAGGTGACACTCATTGTTTTTCCCGTGTGGTCTTCAAATTAGAACAGTTATTTTAAAAATTAAAACCATGTCGTCGTTGACCATCTTTCCCTAGTGACAGTACAGTGGCCCATGATGATGAAAGATGAGGGTTTCAGGTGACAACGAGATCATTATCATCATCATTTCAGCCACAGGACGTCCATTGCTGAACATAGGCCTCCCCCAATGATTTCCACATCGCCCGGTTGATATCGGCCTGCATTCAGCGCCTTCCTGCTACCTGTATGAAGTCGTCGGTCCACCTTGTGGCACCTACGCTGCATTTTCCATTACGTGGCCACTACTCCAGAACTTGGCTGGCCCCATCGGCCGTCAGTTCTGCGTACTATGTGCCCTGCCCATTGCCACTTCAGCTTGCTAATCCGTCGGGCTAAGTCAGCGACTTTAGTTCGTGTACGGATCTCTTCATTTCTAATTCGATCTCGTAAAGAAAAATAGAGATTACCACAGAAGTTGGAAGACTAGCGAATGATCATGAATTTGTAACACCACATACAAATTTAATTCATATGCAGTCGAACTTTTTGAATTTTACGTATTAATAAATTCTATTCAGTGTGCTTACCATGAGTTTACGTTAGGTGTGCTCGCTAGCGACTGCGTAAAAAAATTGACATTAATTGTATGACATATTGTGCAGCGCCCCTAGCGGCTACTTTCAAGAAACAAAATCTTCATAGATTTTTGACGTACTCGCTAGCGAGCACACCTAACGTAAACTCATGGTAGGTACACAGCAGTGCGTACCTGTGATGAGCAGCCCCAGGAACTCCTCCACCATGCTGATGGTATACCGCAGCTGGTCGTCCTCGACTCCTCGCTGCTCGAAGTCCGCTGCAGCCCAGTCCAGGAGATTGAACTTGTTGAGCACGTGGATTATGAACTCGTTGCTCTCGATCAGGGACGCGCCGATCTGTTAAATATGCAGAAAATTTTAATCAGGATTGCAAGTGTCCTAATCACACAGAACTCCCACGAATCAAACTAGAATCTCGCATTAAGACAGTTCAACTGACTATTTGCCATAGAGTGAAGCCCAAGCCAAAGAATCTTTAAAATTGTAACACCTACTGATGTAAACCCATTTTCGCAAAATATATAATTTGAATTTTAATTTAGTGGTCTTTCAGAGTAAAGGCCAGTAGGCGCTATTGACGAGTGATAGGACCTTACTAGATGGCGCCAATCTGGCCAGTGCAAATACTTTATCGCTCTTACCTCATTACAGAGTAAGGTCCTATCACTAATCAGGGGTCGATGACAGGGCTAAATGGTTCCAACTAGTAATACGGGGAGTGGAATGTTTGCTATGTGGGTGTATGAGAAGAGGGGAAGGGAGGGAGGTGATACGGCGAATGGAGTCTTTGTGATGCGTGTGAGGGAGGATATGGAGAGTGGAGTCTTTTCAATGGAGGGGAAGAAATGAGGTGATACCACAGAATAATAATAAGTACTAGGTTTACTTCGCGAAGGTATTTAAAAAAAATATATGCTCAATGTCATTAACAATATGGTGTAATTTTAGCTTGTCTTAAGAATCAAGCACCATTTTGTTGACAAACGTCAGTGATCGGTACTGCACCGACGCCATAGGGCTGACTTCGGTAAAATGATGTGTGATGTGAGGTGCCAAACTGCGGAAAATGGCGGAAGAAATACTTGATTAAGCATGAATTATCATGAATAATATTAACCACTTATTTATCTCTCAGAGACTTCAGGCAACTTAAAAAAGTACATTCTATGTTTTTATTATTATTTAGGCAGTTAAATACTGCACAGTATTTAGTACACCGTTTTTATGATTTTTTTTCCATCATACATAAGAATACGCGTGCGTGATTCAATGTTCGCTCGTATGTGAGGCCTTGTCGAATAGTATCCTGTAGGTGGGCCATCGTGCGTGTTTTGTTTTCGATGTAAACTCGCGGAGATGAACAGGCCTGGTACTGGGCCCAACGCTTCATAGAAAGTGGTTGTTCACCTTTACCTAGTATAACACATCTCTAGTTTGTGTGCTTGTGGGAGGAGGGACGTTACTCTCACCTGTAGCATGAGCACGTCGCGGTCCAACATCTCAGCGCGGCACTTGACGTTGTGGTAGAAGAAGAGCTGGTTGAGCAGCGCGAACCCGTTGCGGCGCCACATGCCCGCGTGCACCTGAGCTATCATCGCCATCGTCTGCAGCACCGGCTCTGAGGACGATATAGCGTTAACAACAACTGTATGTTATACATGCGCGTATGCAAAGCAGAGTAGATGGCTTTATTCCACTTCGTTCACGTGGGTGATGTCACCTAAAGAGAAAAAATTTGAGGCGCCTAAAGCAATTTTAGTCGACCGCTTTAGTCGACTCAATTCACCTGGAAAATAAAGTTGGGTGAAATGGTTTCGAGGTTAAATGAGGACACTAAACAATCTACTTTGTTCACCCAGGTGAACAAAGTGGAATAAACCGTGTAGATGACACCACTCGTCAATAGGATAGTGGAAACACCAGTCAAATATTCTATGCTCACGTGATATTAACAGACGTGGAAACACATTATAATCTAAGTACTAAGTACTTTGGTAATGTGGACTATGACGTCATATCGATTTTAATGCTAAATCTACTTTATTTAAATATGAGGACAGTGAAATTATGTCTTGTAATGATTGGATTTTAGTGTCAAATATCAATTTATTTTCCACAACATTCCTTTGCCCCACTGCACTGTATCAGGTAGGCTAAAGGATTTGCCACACTGAATGCGGTCTGCGGCCAGGTGATCAAGTCAAAGTAATAAATCACACATTATGCGGGCTGCATTTGATGTAACCTAACCATCCTGCATCCAGTGTGAAAAAATCTTAAATGTAAAGGGTTTTCATGATAGCCGCGTCACTTATTAGCCAAAATCTAAATAGTTTTTCTCACCGATGAGCTCTTCAGGCGTGGGTTTCGGCTTCTCAGGGCGGTCGAACTCGCGGCTATGGTAGCTCAAACCGTGGCGGTGCAGTTGCAGCGTCAGCCCCGCGATGAAGCGCGACAGCGGCCGGTGGATGGACACCGGCTCCACTGATACGTCGTACGGGATCACCGATGCGCTTTGGTTGCCCAGCTCTGGAAGATATAGTATCATTTAACACAACATCTATACTAATATTATAAAGCTGAAAAGTTTGTTTGTTTACTTGAACGCGATAATCTCCGGAACTACTGGTCCGATTTCAAAAATTCTTTCAGTGTTAGAAAGCCCATTTATCGAGGAAGATTATAGGCTATACAACATCCCGCTACAATCAATAGGAGTAGAGCAACAATGAAAAATGTTGCGAAAACGGGTTTTCACGCGTACGAAGTCGCGGGCACAGCTAGTAAATTAATAATAAGACGACGTCTTAAAGGTAGCGAGAAGGCGCTGGATGCAGGCCGCCACCAACCGGCCATTGTGGAAATCATTGGGGGAGGCCTATTTTCAGCAGTGGACGTCCTATGGCTGAAATGATGATGATGATTAATAATTCGGTGGTCCTGTTGCACACAGTATGCCAGACATCGGGGAGCTGGTTCCAAATTTCCAATCCCTGACACATCCCAAAAATACAGAAAGTTTCTCGAGTGGAGGTCATGGATCAGAATGACGTCACATTACCGTGTACTGACGATTGAGACAAGGTTTGCCACGTCTCAACAAAGTAGGATAGGTTGCCACACTGTTAGATGGGCCGGAGACTTTGTGCTGCGAAAAAGGGCGATATCGTGGTTTGTGTCGTTTCAGGGGGATGACTTCGTTTAGTCCTCGTGACTCCTTTAGACAAAAGTAATATTCGATTTAGTGTAGGGATAGGGATTGACGACGACTTCTCGGATTCTCAATCCAATGGCCTGTTATTGAAAATGTGTACACTCAGCCTCCCCAATCCATCTGGCTAGAAGAGAGTGATAGCCAAATCCTCCATTTGCCTCTGGTAATGTTGGTCGGGCTCTTTCAGTGGAGTCTAAGTTTACTAATGATGGTAATGACAATGGTAGGCGCTGGCGGCCACGGCGCGCTCGGGAGCACCAGGCCAGCTAAAGCCTGGTCCGTGAGCACGTAGAATCCCGTCCAATGACCCCAAGCTGCCCATCCTTGTCGCTCGCACGTAATTATGTTGCGTCGCGTTTGCACCACAGAATAATAATAAGTACTACGTACAGAAGTTTTACTTCGCGAAGGTATTTAAAAAAATGTAAGCCCAATGTCATTAACAATATGGTTTAATTTAGCTTGTCTCAAGAGTCAAGCATCATTTTGTTGACAAACGTCAGTGATCGGTACTGCGCCGAAGCTATAGGGCTGACTTCGGTAAAATGATGTGACGTGAGCTGCCAAACTGCAGAAAATGGCGGTGGAAATACATGATTTAGCATGAATAATATTAACTACTTATTTACCTCTCAGTGTCTTCAGGCAACTTAAAAAAGTACATTCTGTGTTTTTATTATTATTAAGGCAGTTAAATACTGCACAGTATTTAGTACACCATTTTCTTTATTTTCTTCCATCATGCACAAGAATACGCGTGCGAGAGTCAATGTTCGCTCGTATGTGAGGCCTTGTCGAATAGTATCCTGTAGGTGGGCCATCGTGCGTGTTTTGTTTTCGATGTAAACTCGCGGAGATGAACAGGCCTGTTTGCACACTCACTGCGGGCGCGCGTCGCACAGTCGCGACAGCAATATAATTACGCGCGAGCGATAAGGATGGGTAGCTTGGGGTCATTGGACGGGATTCTACGTGCTGACGGACCAGGCTTTAGTGATGCCGCGGCGGGCTGGCGGCCACATACCTCGCAGCACCCGGGGCGGCGCGCTGTAGGTGTCGCAGTGCCGCCGCAGCGCCATGCGGTAGGCGCTGGCGGCCACGGCGCGCTCTGCTGAGCACCAGTCGAGGGACAGTGTGATGCTGTGCGCAAGCTTCACGTGGAGGTTGAAGGCAGACTCCCACTCCGGCTCGTACTCCATATGTTGGCCCACCTGATCGACCAGATCATACGTTAAAGGATTTCCTGCGATTCCTCTAACCATCAATCCAATGAGTATCGTTTTAGCGCTCACCAGTTGGCGCCACTGTAGAGTAAGGTCCCGTCACTTGCTAGTAGCGAAGACAGTGGCACCAACTGGTGAGCGCTAAAGTGGTAGGAGGACTATCGCATTTGCACTCATCAAGATGGCGCCACTGTAGAGTAAGGTCCTGTCAATCGCCAGGGGTGCCAACTGTTAAGTATAAAAACGATAGCCCTCATTCCAAACTACTTTTCTGACCATAATGGTTAGATCATACGGTAACCCTCAATCCAAGTCACTTTTATCCCCAACTATCCCGGACTACGATAGCTGTCACGGTAACGGTAGGGCAGGGAGTGGGAAGAATCAATGAAATAAATTTTAAGCTGTCAAAATGCGAAGCTCTCACAGATTATTCCTCATTGTTCTTAGACAATAACACAAGGCAATAAAGTTCGAAGTCAGGTTAAGGTACGTATTACAGAAGTAAAATAAAAATAGATTCGTTTTCAAACACACAATGAGGTTTTTTGGCAGATTTTTTATACTGATCATAGGAGATAACCGGAGACACGGTTACAAGGTTCCCAAAACATTGAGCAATGAGTGCTACCGTATTTGCGCTCGTTGACGCCACTGTAAAGTATGGTTCTATCTTAGCTAATAGATAAAACATGGTGCCAACTGATGTTCGTTGTATAAGTGTGGTTTTCTGAATAAAGAAAAATAACATAAATAAAATAAACAATGCAAGGACTACCGTATGCACTCACTAGGGTGGCGCTACTGTATAGTCATAACACTTACAAGTAGGGCCAACTAAAGCCTGGTCCGTGAGCACGTAGAATCCCGTCCAATGACCCCAAGCTACCCATCCTTATCGCTCGCGCGTAATTATATTGCTGTCGCGACTGTGCGACGGGCGCCCGCAGTGAGTGTGCGAGCGCGACAGCAACAGCAACGCGCGAGCGATAAGGATGGGTAGCTTGGGGTCATTGGACGGGATTCTACGTGCTCACGGACCAGGGTTTAGTGAACAAAACATTAGTAATTAAAAACTAAACTCACTTGTCTGACCACCGAGTCCATTCCCTGCATCATGACCAGCAGGTTAAGCATCAGAGAAAGCCCGTGCAGGAAGCCCTTCCTCAAGTCGTCATCGAATGACGTCGGCACGGAGCTGAGAAGGTACTTCACGTCGTAGAGTATGAATTGTGCTCGCTTGAAGCCCATCGAGATGATGTTGCGGTCGAACTCCAGACGACCCTGGAGAATTTATAAAAGAAATGTAGTTTTGTAGCATGATAAACTTATAGAAGAAAAGTGTCTAGTGGAAGACATAGTGTAGGCAAGCCTCCTACTCCATAGACCGACGATCATAACTTTCTATGAGGTGAGAATCAGACCAAGAGATTCCTCGCTGTGGTTAAAAAACATTAGTAACGATACTATCAGTCGCAGTGTATAAATGGTCTCAAGTAGTGTCTCAAGGGTCAACCTGTGCATCGCGGCTGATCAAAACCGAACTAACTAAATTAAGCCAGGGTTGCACCATCTTACTTTAACTACAGTAGGCAGTTTACGTCAAACGCATTCGGTATCAACTATGTAAAAAAGTGTCATGTACGACGGATTGTACAGCGCCCCTAGCGGAAACTTTCAAGAACAAAAATCTTCATTTTTTAACGAGTCCTAGGGACGAAGTTTGATGTAAACTCACATTCCGCCCACTGACGTTACAAATAACATACAAAAACACCAGTTAAAGTTAAAGTGGTGCAACTGAGGCTAAGGGTGGGTTGCACCATCTTACTTTAACTGTGACAAACGTCAAAAATCTATCAAACTCCATACAAAATACACCGGTTATCGTAATAGTTACCGTTAAAGTTAGGTGGTGCAACTCAGCCTAAATATTACATCAACTGACAAAAGAGACAAAATGGCGTAATTTACCTTATTGTTGCAACGACGGTTGCACTCGCTGACGAACGTGTTGATGACGACAAACAGTGCGTCCTGGTAGGCGATGAGGTGGTGCGCGAGAGTCGGCGTGGTGTACAGCTGGACGGATAGCGATGAGATCGAGAACGAGTGGTCGTGGTCGTCGCGGATGAAGTCCTTTAATATTGACGCTGGAAACAAAATAATTTGAGATATAAAGGATCTTTGCTAGTATCTATTAATTTTAGTGTTGAGATAAGTTTAATGTTTGAAGTTCAAACTTTAGACCAAACACGATACAGTCACTGTAACATATTTTTCTAAAATGTTCGACGATTTATAAGGCCCTTTCTCGAGCTTTACCCAAGTCACAGAACTTTCTTTCTGTCGTTGTAGCAAGGAGTAGCCGATTTCAGGCCGTATAGACCTGTCTTTCGGCACCTGTAGTCCTCCCCTCATATCCCAACCACGTCCACACGCAAAAAAACACTTACCATTGTTCTTAGTGAAGAGTACTGCCCTAAGGCAGCACTAGCGGGGTCGCCATGTAATGTGGGGACCAAGGAGACGAAATAAAAGATGTCAATCAGTCGACTGTGGCTTACAGATATCTTATATCTATGCCTTGCGCTTAGAGATGGGTTTATAGCCAGCTAGTTTGGATAATAACTGATTATTATCTATTAATAGCCATTATTAGCCATCCATTGGCTAGTAACCGTGCTATTAATAGTTTCTTACGTTTTTTCTTCCACCTTTAAAATCAAATCAATATTAAAATCAAATATTACTCAAAGAAACAAAAAAGAACTAAAAAACATCAATGTAATTTATATAAACGACATTGTAGTTAAAAAAGAATCTAAATATCTAAATATATAAAAGGAGAAACTGACTGACTGACTGACAGATCAACGCACAGCCTAAACGGCTAAACGTAGGCACTTGAAATTTGGAAGGGACGTAGCTTAGGTACCGTAGAGGTGCACTAAGAAAGGAATTTCCGAAATTCCCACGGGAACGGGAATTAGCAGGAAAAACAGGATTCACGCGTACGAAGTCGCGGGCGGCCGCTAGTTATACAATAAAAGGAGAAACTGACTGACTTGGTGACAGATCAACACACAGCCTAAACGGCTAAACGTAGGCACTTGAAATTTGGAGGGGACGTAGCTTAAATACCGTAGAGGTGCACTAAGAAAGGAATTACCAAAATTCCCAAGGGAACGGGAATTAGCGGGAAAATCCTTTTGAATGAAAAATCTAAACCGCTTAAGTTAGATGCTTGAAATTTGGCATGTAGGTACATTAGTAAACTTAAAGCTTAGTTACAACAAGGTATTCACGATATTCCCAAGGGAACGGGAATTAGCGGGAAAATCCTTTTGTATGAAAAATCTAAACCGCTTAAGTCAGACGCTTGAAATTTGGCATGTAGGTACATTAGTAAACTCAAAGCTTAGTTGCAACAAGGAATTCCCGAAATTCCCACGGTATTGGGAATTAGCTGGAAAATCCTTTTGTATGAAAAAAGTAAACCGCTTAAGTTACACGCTTGAAATTTGGCATGTAGATACCTTAGTAAACTGAAAGCTTAGTTACAACAAGGAATTCCCGAAATTCCCACGGGAACGGGAATTAGCGGGAAAATCCTTTTGTATGAAAAATCTAAACCGCTTAAGTTAGACGCTTGAAATTTGGCATGCAGGTATCTTAGTAAATTTAAAGCTTAGTTACAACAGGATATTGCAAAATTCCCACGGGAACGGGAGTTAGCGGGAAAAAACATTTGTATGAATAAATCTAAACCGCGTAAGATAGATGAAGGGGGTAAAACGGGATCCACGCGTACGAAGTCGCGGGCGGCCGCTAGTGCTTAATAACAGGCGATACTAAAAAAATACGTAAAATACCCAGAAAATGTCAATAAATAATAAAAACTCAGATATTTTTTGACTTTTTTTATCGATAAAAATAGGTTTAGTAGTTCCGCCTATTTTCATATATGCACTTTCTCAAGACTCATACTGTACTAGCGGCCGCCCGCGACTTCGTACGCGTGGATCCCGTTTTACCCCCTTCATCTATCTTACGCGGTTTAGATTTTTTCATACAAGTGTTTTTTCCCGCTAACTCCCGTTCCCATGGGAATTTTGCAATATCCTCTTGTAACTTAGCTTTGACTTTACTAAGGTACCTGCATGCCAAATTTCAAGCGTCTATCTTACGTGGTTTAGATTTTTTCATACAAATGTTTTTTTCTCGCTAACTCCCGTTTCCGTGGGAATTTTGCAATATCCTCTTGTAACTAAGCTTTAAGTTTACTAAGGTACCTGCATGCCAAATTTCAAGCGTCTAACTTAAGCGGTTTAGATTTTTCATACAAAAGGATTTTCCCGCTAATTCCCGTGCCCGTTGGAATTTCGGGTATTCCTTTCTTAATACACCTCTACGGTACCTAAGCTACGTCCCTTCCAAATTTCAAGTGCTAAATTTGTAAACTATGAAGGGATATGTTTAATCCTTGGACGAATAAACCACTGGACACGAAACCTACAAGATTTCTAAGGAAACACGATCAACCACTTTTTGCGGGGGGAGAGGTTTGACAATTGTCAAATAATGACATTTAGTGCTGGGAAAAGATCGTAAATTTTTATTATCGATAGTTATGTAAATGAATGAATNTCCAGTGGTTTGTTCGTCCAAGGTTTAATCATTAGTATAACATTAATAGCAGGGTTACCATCTGAAATCGGCTATTATTGGCTATTTATGGCTAATAACTGCTTTTAATCCGTTACTAGCCAATTGCTATTAATCGGATTATTAGCACTTACCCATCTCTACTTGCGCTAAGTACTAAGGTGAGATGCGTCATACACTACACGTTGCTACCGCTCGCCAAAATTAGGCCACGCCCACATACAAATAATTCACTCACCATAGTTTTTAGTGAAGAGTATAGCCATGGCTTTCTTAGTTGAGTAATCCATGAGGGTAGTAGCTATCAGCAGGCGATGCCAGGCGGTGCGGGCTGCCTTCCACATGCGGAAGTCGTTCTGCATGACCACGCTCCAAGTTTAGGCCACGCCCACATACAAATACACTCGGCATAAAATAAATCGCACCTCCCTCGACAAGCACTTATCAAACGTATGCATCCCCACTTCCCACCATCATTGGTATCATTTGAAAGCCTAGTTTTAAACTTTATTTCATTAAAGGAAAGGTTTTTACCCCAAAAATGTGTCTTTACAAGGATTCAGAGTCACTTCTTCAAAAAATAGGTAATTACGCTATAGCCATTTTTTATGACTATAAAACTGTTAAGTTGGGATTAATCGCTATCCATCTGTTAAAGAGGACACGTGAGATCTTTATTTGGTTTTATAACCATAAAAATTGGTCTAATTGATCCCAGAGGTGAGCCCAAAGTGAGGTCTCTTTTTAAGTGCACATTTATGGTATATGTTAATCATTTATTTAGAAATGAAATGTATTTTTCTTTAAGGATATTTATTGAGCTTTCAAATAACACCAATATTGTTGGGGTACCATAATTTTGTCAGAAGAAAATCCTTCAAGTTCGCGTCGCGGAAGGTGCGGTTTATTTGATGTTGAGTGTAGTTCACTCACCATAGTTCTTAGTGAAGAGTATAGCCATCGCCTTCTTAGTTGAGTAATCCATGAGGGTAGTAGCTATCAGTAAGCGATGCCAGGCGGTACGGGCGGCCTTCCACATGCGGAAGTCGTTCTGCATGACCACGCCCCAACTTTAGGCCACGCCCACATACAAATAATTTACTCACCATAGTTCTTAGTGAAGACAATCACCTGTAAGTAAGTAGTTCATTTTGCAGACGCGTCTCAAGCGGGCGAGATTCGCGCTCGCACTGGATTAGACAGGTTTGCGATTGGTGGCGATAACGCGTCCGTAAGCATTGTCTATGAGTGCGTTGCACGAGCGCACTTTGTATGTAGATTGTCTTCTGCTCCTACCTATTTTGTGCCGATGTCTACAAACAAAACACACTCACCATAGTTCTTAGTGAAGAGTATAGCCATGGCTTTCTTAGTTGAATAATCCATGAGGGTAGTAGCTATAAGCAGGCGATGCCAGGCGGTCCGGGCTGCCTTCCACATGCGGAAGTCGTTCTGCATGACAGCACCAGCCACGCCCCCTCCACAAAGGGAGGTGCTGCCGCCCCCCCACGCTTCTTCCCCGAGGGCCACTTGGCTGAGAGCCAAGCGGAGACTCGGCTCACGGCAGACGAAGTTCTGGAGCCTGGAATACAGTCGCTTTATATTGTGGACGAGGTTTTAATCAAATATTGTAATATTTATGTGCTACTTCGGTCTTTTTTCCGTATACTTTCTTTGTTCTCTAAGTGATGTTCATCGTAATAAATATGTCTTTCTTTTTTCTTTCAAATCAAGTTTGCTCTTCTAATTCCATTGTAATTTACGTACACGTAAAATTTGACTCAAAGATGAAATAGATAAACGGTTAGGCAATTCGTATAGGGCGGCTATTGTTTTGACCGAAGATTTAAGTTTTAAATCTTTATGGTACCTCTAATCTAGAAGAATGACATGGAAATCTCAAACGTCAAAATCTCAAATCATAAGCTCATCTTACTAATAAACGATACATGCACGTTGAAACATGGATTAAAGGGCGGTTTTTAATTTACCTACACCATTCCCACTGCATTGGTATCACTAGACCACTTCTCAGTTTGGGCAAATCGTCGCCCCTTGGCCTACTTTTTTGGCCATATTCGTGATGAAATTACATTTTAAAGTGGTTCTCAACGCGCGTGAAATCATTTAGTCTACACTGAAGGAACACTATCCTATTTTTGCTAAGGGGCTAAAAAAACTACAAATCAAATAACAAAAAGACTTACCAATTCAGCAGCTTCATGGCGAAGGTCTGGTGCGCGATGACGTGCGCGTGCATGACGAGCACCTTCAGGCTGGGCCCGTGCCGCGACGTGAACCTTTCGAACATCGCCGTGCAGCTGAGTAACATTCGCACGTCACGCCACCGGACAGCGATACGCCAGGCGAGACAAAATTTCGTCACTCGTAAGCGTAGATACCAGGCAGGATTGGCAAATATTCAGTGTAGAGACAAAAAATTCGTCCCAAGGCTTTTTAGACATGGTGTTGCAGGCATCTTTTGGGCTAGTTTTTTATATCATTTTTTGCAATTTTGGAGTAACATTATTATTTTATTAAGAGCCGATTTACTTAATTTTGAAAAAATCAACGCTCGTAAGAGTGGATATCAGGCAAGATATTGGTAGTGTAGAGACAAGGAATTAAATGCTCTGAAGCTTTTAAGACACGTGTGAATAATATGCATTTTCAGCGCAGTTTTTTATACATTTTTCAGCAAAAGTAATTAAGAGCCGATTGTATATTACAAAAAAAATCAACACGCTGTGGATACCACGCAAGTAGACCGTAGGTAGCGCAGAGACAAGGAACTGAAAGGTTTGAGGTTGTCAAGACACTTTCCATCAAAAACGATAGCCATCTTTTTGGTCAGTTCTCTGTAACATTGTTGGATGAACAGTCCACCAAGTGAAAATCAATAGAATGTTAAAAACCCAACTTATTTCATCTCTTATTCCATGGGAAGAGGCGATTTTAAGAAATACCTTCAGTTGAAAATAATTAATTTTAAAAATAGTTTCTTTCTACAAATAGGTCAATATGGTGTCGCCCTCTTTATGCCTTTGTTCTTTTATGTTTTATTATATTCTGCCTGGCGTAAAGCTGAACTCGAAAAGTTGGAAGATAGAACAAGCATTGTGTGTTAGCAGCAAAAGAATTCGATTGTGGTAAGTATAATGTGCAACTTCAACAAATTCAACAAAATGCTTACCACAATCTTCGCAACGAGTTATTGCGAAAGACAAGCTCAGTTTAGTATTCTAGAACTACTATTATTATGTGCATAACTTAAACTATCTTAATTCTATGCGTTTATATTATGATATTAGTCTTTTTCTGCATAATTGTATGCCAGTTGAATTAAAACTACAAAAAAATAAAAATAATCTGTAGACGTGAAACTCACTATCAATAGTAAAGTATTTCAACACTAGTGGTGTCAAATGAGGGCTATCGTTTTAGCGCTCATCAGTTGGCTTGGCACCCCAAGTAATTGCTAGTGGCGAAGATAGTAGCGCCAACTAGTGAGCGATGAAGCGGTATCGCATTTTCATTCACCAGGATGGCGCCACTGAAGAGTAGGATCATATCATGTTATGTGGTGCAAACTGTTATGTATAAAAACAATAGCCCTCATTGCCCTAAATACACTACTGGACCGCAAAGAAAAAGAGACGGTTAGAAAATCTTCTATAACTTCAAAAGTACCTCACCTTAGTTTTTTGAAACGGAAAATACAAGAACTACGGTATTTTTATTATTTCGCATTTATTTCATAATGCTAGGTCAGGTACTTTTGAAGATATTAATAATTTTCTGACCGAACCTTTTTCTTTGCGGTCCAGTGTAATATGGATGTTGAGCACACGCCAGCAACTTACGTCTCAATGTCGCCTTTAAGCTTATCGGCGACTTGGAAGGTGCTGCACTTGACGAGCGCGCGGCCCTCGCGGTCGATCAGCGTCACCAACTCCACGGCGTCGCGGTGGTTGCACTTCATCACGCGCGTCAGTGTCGTGATCACCTACGGATTGCGAAATAGATTGTTTTAACACAATATACCAACGCAACAAGTACGTAAAACATTTTTTTTTTAAATAATATTTAAACCATTGCGTATGGTGTTTTGTATTTTTTGAATAAACTACGTAAGAACGGTACATACAAAGAAGTAGAATACCTACATTTAAAAGATATCAAATAAAAATACTGTTTTATTCGACTTTAAAATGTCTATCATTCACGTGTCTATATTCCAATTTGAAACAGCTTTTCGAGATAAGGTGACGGCGTCAAAAGCTAAAACCAAATATGATTTCTTTCTTTCCTCCTTATAAGGTGTTAAAATGCAGATTTCGGTATACAATAAAACTGGTGAAAAGTAGATAAAAGATCTACTGATCCATCACAAAGTCATGTACTACGAACCTGTTCAAATGTGTGGGTTTCATCGTTGTATAGAACGGTGCAGTATCGGTCGGGCGAGTCCAAGATCTGCAGGAGATCCCTCTCGGCATCTTTTAATCTGTAAGCAACATACACACTGCAATATTACGCCACATTTTTCCATGTTTTAAACTATCATCTTCGAATCTATAACCCAACATCCTGGGGTGAGCACTAGAGCCCACCCAGCTCAAATCTAGGTATCCAAAAGTGTTTCACGAGGTCTATTAACCGATTGAGTCCCAGACGGCATTAATTAATGTCATAACAATAGATTTTCTATTGTGTCTAGATTCGCGGAGCTTGAAGGATTAAACGATATTAATAGTAAATTACAGAAACTGGATCTATCCAAAAAATATATGTTTCCAATTTCGATATTTTCAGATACATCCAGTTTATTCTGTAACCTATTAAGGATTTCGTTTGATAGAGCTTGTGAAGCACTTTCAGGATCAGTGAACAGTTTTTCGGTATCTTGTATAGTTTAGAAATAATTGAGTGAGATGACTTATCGTTTCCACCCTGTATAAATGCTATATCTCCAGGTCACCTAGTGAGGAGCTTGGATGCGGGCAGCGCAAGACCGTTCATTGTGGGAAAACCTTGGAGGAGGCCTTTGTCCAGCAGTGGACGTCATTTGGCTGAAACGTGCAAAGTAAAGTACGAACAAACGAATCGAGTGAGATCACTTATCGCTTCCACCCTGTATACGCGCATACGCACTAGCAGAACAACGGGCTCAATTTCTTCGATCACCATCGTCGCTGCAGGAGGCCTGCAGGCTGCTCGCCTTCTGGGGGGATCTGGGGTGGTTGGAGTAGGAAGATAAACCACAAATCGCGCACAATGGCCCAATCATGAGGCTAAGTGCGGTATTCGATTGCCCTGCAAAACTAACTAACTAACTACCATCTATAACGACAACTTCATAAAGGTAGTAGGAAGGCGCTGGATGCAGGCCGTTACCAACCGCGCGATATGGAAGTCATTGGGGGAGGCCTATGTACAGCAGTGGGCGTCATTTGGCTGAAATGATGATAATGATTTTTTTTATACACAACGAGGAAGCTCTTGGCCTGTATCTTACCTGATGGTAAGTGATGATCAGGCCGAAGGTGGAAGCGAGCTTCACCCGGAATCCTCAACCACAGAGGAACTGGCTATCTCACCTCTAACTGCCGGAAACAACAATGCTGTTAACATTGTTGTTATGGCGACAGACTTAGGTAAGATGGTGGTAGCTAGCCAGGCGGACTTAGAACAAGCCCTACCACCAACCAAACCGAACAGAAAAATCTGCACCCACTGGGAATCGAACTCGGGACCTCTGCGTCTGAAGTAGGTGGTCTTACCACTAAGACCACAGAGGCGGTCATGATGATGATGGGCGGCATTTGGCTAAAACGACTTTGATGACGCACCTCAGGTCGTTGGGCAGGCTGGGCGCGTGGTCGTGCGTGAGCAGGCGCAGGCTGTAGGACAGGCAGACCGACGCGACTATCTTCATACGCTCGATGACGTCAGCGCTCACGTGAGCGCACGGCTGCTCCGCTGCATCGGCCGGCGCCTGGCGACATAATAAAGAATATTTAAGAGCCAAAGGAGAGAGACAAGCTGTGTATTTCTTATTTTACTTTGGTAAACTTTGGTACCCCTCTATTCTTCATTTTAAATCTGTACTGTTTGAAACTTTCATGGTCACTAACATAATTATTTTATTATTACTGACGGGATTGCTACCATGTACCTTAATTTTGAGTTTCCAATATTTCGGCACTGTTGCAAGCGCGGGTGAGATGTTATGGGCAGACATATCGATCTACCCTCTTTCGCAGTCTTTTATTAAGATTGCCTCCCGTATCACCGTTCACCAAATCACTATTAAGGTACATGGTAGCAATCCCGTCAGTAATAATAATTAAATCTGTACTGTTAAACATGTACTGTACATGTTCCAGAGGTTTCAGAAATTGCCTGTTTCTCGCTAATTCGCTAATAGGCAAGCTCACTCCATCCGATTCGCATGAGAGCAGATCGGAGCAGACCTGTATAACAGTTAACAGCCTATTGAAACCTATATGGTATTCGTTGCAGTAATCGTACTTATTATAACCAGATAAAACAAGGTAGAGCAGCGACTTACCCATTGGCGTATCTAGGGTACTTTTCAGGGGGGTCTGGCCCCTGACATCCATGTGCGATCAACTAACATCTTTGAATCGGTAGCCCAACATCCTGGAGGAGGCACCAGGAAAGGCGTGCCACCCCGGCCCCCCGCTATATTTGCGCATGACTTACCGCATGTAGTTCACAGAAGGGGTCCCGCTTCCAGGCCTCCGTGTCGCCGCAGTCATCAGCAACAATCTCAACCTTATGGCAAATACATAAGACACAGTGTTGAACTAGACCAAAGGCAGCGACTAACTGCATGTGACATGACACAGTGTTGAGCCACGACCAGGGACATTGACTCATCGTGTGAAACTCGCAGATAGGATCCTCTGTATCGCCGGAGTCACGGCAACATTTTCGCCCTTATTGCAACTACATAAAACACAGTATTGAGCAGGCTCTTACCGCATGTAGTTCACAGAAGGGGTCCCGCTTCCACGCCTCCGTATAGCCGTAGTCGCAGCAGCAGTATTAACCTTATTGCACCTACATAAGACACAGTGTTGCACTAGACCCCAAAGGCAGCGACTAACCGCATGCGACATACATGACACAGTGTTGCGCCACGACCACGGACTTTGACTCACCGCATGAAACTCGCAGATCAGGAATCAGAAACAAGCAGGATCCTACCTCTGTATCGCTGGAGTCATAGCAACATTTTCGCCCTTATTGCAACTACATAAAACACAGTATTGAGCAGGCTCTTACCGCATGTAGTTCACAGAAGGGGTCCCGCTTCCACGCCTCCGTATAGCCGTAGTCGCAGCAGCAGTATTAACCTTATTGCACCTACATAAGACACAGTGTTGCACTAGACCCCAAAGGCAGCGACTAACCGCATGCGACATACATGACACAGTGTTGCGCCACGACCACGGACTTTGACTCACCGCATGAAACTCGCAGATCAGGAATCAGAAACAAGCAGGATCCTACCTCTGTATCGCTGGAGTCATAGCAACATTTTCGCCCTTATTGCAACTACATAAAACACAGTATTGAGCAGCCTCTTACCGCATGTAGTTCGCAGAAGGGGTCCCGCTTCCACGCCTCCGTATAGCCGTAGTCGCAGCAGCAGTATTAACCTTATTGCAACTACATAAGACACAGTATTGAGCAGCCTCTTACCGCATGTAGCTCACAGAAAGGATCCCGCTTCCACGCCTCTGTGTCACCGCAGTCGCAGCAGCCGCCGCCGCCAGACTGGCCCATCTTGTACTTGTGGTGGCGATGCGCGGACACCTTGAAGCATTCCACGCACAGCACGCACGTGTTGTCCATGCCTGGAATAAAACGTTTCATCATCAGGTCAGTAAGTCTTCATTACAGGAGCACGACCTTCTCAACTTGCTAGAGGCAAATGGAGCATAAGGCCTGCACGAATACACTCTCCACGTTGATCAAACAGGTTAGGGAGATAAAAGCAGAGTAAATACAAATGAGTAGGTTATCTTCATAGAAACGCACCGAGCGCGGTTTGTATGTGAGCGCGCCAATACATATGCGGCGCGCACGCACACACTGACAAAATTTAACGTGGATTAGCGGGGAGTTGCGCCGAATTATTACTCATTTGTATTTACTCTGATAAAAGTCATTTTCTGATCATAGTCAGGTCATTAAGTCCCTACTGCAGAAGCACGACACTGTCTAACTTCCCCGAGCCAAATGGAGGATATGACCACATTCCCCATGTTGATCAGACGGGTAGGGGAGACAAGTAATTCCATCACCATCGTTAGGTCATTTAGTCTCTACTGCGGGAGTATGATACTCTCTAACTTGCCAATATTGAATGGACAAATTGACCATTTAGTAACGGTTTAAGTACTAGGGGAGACATAGGCCTCCCCCAAACTAGCGTCTTTGGAACGTCGTGGTTTCGCCAGCGCCTGCGCATTAACTAAATAAGGCGGTTGCCAGGCTACGTAGATCCGTTCGGCTGCTCAGCAACGCCGCGTCGACGCTACACGGACGCTAGCAAGATGTTAATGTGGGACACTAATGTGTACACACACTTACCACACTCGCGGCAGCTGTAGGCCGGCTCGCCCTGCTTGAACACGCGGCCGCAGAGCGTGGAGCGGCGCGGCGGCGGCTGCGAGCCCACGCAAACTGCTCTAGCGGCTCACTCGGCAGCTTGGCGGCTAGCTCCTCGTTACTGTGGGACGCTGGCACACTCACCACACTCGCGGCAGCTGTAGGCCGGCTCGCCCTGCTTGAACACGCGGCCGCACAGCGTGGAGCGGCGCGGCGGCGGCTGCGAGCCCTCCGCGGTGCCCCACACGAATTGCTCTAGCGGCTCCGTCAGCAGCTTGGCGGCTAGCTCCTCGTCGAACGACCAATCTAAGGGAAAACACGTCACGAAGTCAAAATCAAATTCTACAATGGACGACATTTTGCTAAAACAAACATGCAGGCCCCTTTTCAAAACACTTATAGACGTCCCAAATAGGTATACATCTAGCTTGCCCTACCATCACTTTGGGACAGCATATTGATGATAAGAAGTGACGGAAGAAACTCAGTCACCTTTGTGAGACTTGTTTATTCATCATCGTCGTCGTTTCAGCTACAAGACGTCCACTTCTGAACATAGGCCTCCCCCAATGATTTCCACATCACCCGGTTGATAGCGGCCTGCATACAGCGCCCTGCTGCTATCTTGTTTATTACAGATTTATTTATTATTTAATTGATCATACTTTTTTTTTTAAATACAGTTTTTATTTGCGCAGTCAGTAGTTATTTCATAAATAAAATTAATTACAAGACAACAATTATCACCTGTAGCTTTATTAAAAACTCAGCAAAGATCAAATCAATTGATCGACATACAACCGATTCGGCTAACAAGATTTGGCAGCCTGTAATGTATGTTTTGGTTAATTACCCGTCAATGAACGTCTATTGGCTCTGTAGTAACGTATGTTGGCACTAAACAATGTATTGTAATTTAAGATTGCATTTAAACCAAGATTATTTACCTTCGTGAATTATGAGATAGCTTCGACGGATGAAATTATTGCTGTTAGACAAAAATTCACAATATTCTAAATACATGAAGCTTAATCGTTTCAGCCAAATGACGTCCACTGCTGGACAAAGGCCTTCCCCTTCCACAACGAAAGGTCCTGCGCTGTCCGCATCCAGGCACTTCCCGGGACTTTCACCAGATCGTCGGGCCACCTAGTGGGAGGCCTGCTAACACTACGTCTTCCGTAAAGCTTGTCGAAATAATCTTGGTGGTGCCATTCTCCAATAAATTATAGAATAACAATCATTATGTATCAAAAGTATTTTTTTTTATGTGATAAGCAATTGCCGTCGCCCATGTACACCCGCAACATTAGTGAAGTCACAAGTGCGCTGCCAACCTTTTAAATCCCATTCCCCCCCAATTGGGCCTCCGGTATCCTCACTCACTCGGCGAAACACAGCGCAAGTAAAAAAAATATTTCTTTAGACTATTTACAATTTCATCGAGTTAACAGCGCACCTGGGAGCCGTGACGTCACATCGACGCTCTGGTACGGATGGGGCTGAACGCAGGGAGGTGTACGGGTGAGAGCGAGGGAGAGTCGCATTCCAGCGGGGTGCGCAGTTAACTATATCGATCTAACTTGCTCTTTAACTAGAGTTAGTTAGGCTTGTTCTTACTCGGACACTGAACGGATCGCTCCGAACTAGTACAATCGGTCAAATGAACTAGTTCGGTCTTCTAGTACTATTAGTTCATTTTAGTACACTGATTCTATTAGGTAGATCGAACGAAAAAAGTTTTTATTCGTATGAATTTATGGTCCAATATCGAAAAATACTCGCAACACAATTACAGAGCCGTACCCATCACACTCGCGCTTACATGTCACTAATTTCACGTCTCATTCTAGCACTCTTAGTTCATTTGAGTACCGATTTTTTTTTAATCAGATCGGACGAAAAACGTCTTTATTACTATCAACTTATAGTATAATGTCGCAAAATACTCGCTACACACTCACAGAGCCGAATCCATCTCGCTCGCACGCGCTTGTAACCAATTTCACGTCTCGTTCACACCTATTTATTCGTGATCAGCTGTACTAAAGTGAACTAAAAGACCGATTTGAACGACCAATACGGAATAGTTCGTTTTCGTTCACATAAAGGAATTGCTTCCTGTAGTACTTTAGTACATGTACTACACAAGCCTAGAGTTAGTTAGAGAGCAAATCGAGCTAACGAGGGAGTTGTAGATAGTGCTTATCATCTAGCAACTCACCCAAACACGTCCTGTTAGGCAGCGGCGAGTATATCCTGGGCACGGTGACCCGCCAGTGGTCCTGGAAGTGTCCAGGGGAGAGCACCCCCTCCGCCATCTTGGTTCTCCACAGTTCCAACACCGCATCGGCTCTCGAAGGCAGCGTGAACCTACGCACCGAAGTCTCATCGTCACTCATTTTAGAAGACAATCACTGTACTGTAACGTTCACTGTTTTAAAGTCATTTACGATTGGCTTAAAAGGGCTTGCACCCTGAGTTGTAAAACACCATTTAAAAAAATGTAACGTTCACAATAAGCCGGGTTTCCAGAGTGTTTTGCCCCTCCCTACACCATCAACAAAAACATGTCAACATTCAACATTTTTATAGGCAATTTTGTTGAATGTTTTTTATACACACTTCTAACACAATATTTTATGATATTGATAGGAGGGCGCTACTATCAATACTGGGTTATTAGTTCCGATTATTGCCACTTGGGACTACACTGGAGTGTCGCCATATAATTATGACATTTACAAGAGGGCGTTACTATCAATACTGGGATAGTTCCGATTTTTTTATACTTGACATTTCAGAATCGTTTGACTAAAGCCCGGTCTGTGAGCACGTAGAATTTTGTCCAATGACCCCAAGCTACCCATCCTTATCGCTCGCGCGTAATTATATTGCTGTCGCGACTGTGCGACGGGCGCCCGCAGTGAGTGTGCGTGCTCGCAGACCAGAGGTGGAATTGTGTAAAGCAATCGTTATCATTTGACAGTTCATAACGTACGTTAAAGTCAGATAAACAAAGCGTTTGACAGAATAATCGTACATTATGAACTGTCAAATGATTACGATTGCTTTACACAATTCCACCTCAGACTATACAGGGTGTTAGGTAAATGGGTATATGAGCCGACACTAGCCCATGTTAACATGGTCATATAAATGGTATGGTGAAGTCAGAAAATTGATATCTTCATTTTAATTATTTTAATTTTCATACAAATCGGATTTTATAAAATTTATTTTGTACGAAAATTAAAAAAAATTAAATGATGATATCAAATTTCTGACTTCACCATACCATTTATATGACCATGTTAACATAGGCTAGTGTCGGCTCATATACCCATTTACCTAACACCCTGTATAACAATCACAGTTTGATCATACATTTTATTAATAGGTTTCATTGATGAAGTTTGAGAGCCACTGTAACTTTTAGTTTAGTTCTTTTGTGAACGAGTTTAACCGGACAGAAGTTCAATGATACACATACACATTGATGTCCATTGTTTCAAAATAAAATTGTTTTAACGAGTCATTTGTTTTTCGGGGACACTAATCATTTTACGTTTATTTTGTGACTAACATTGAGCAATTGCCAAAGTTTGCTTTACTTAACCCTAGATAGCTAACCTTCCGGCGTACCCTGTTTAAGCTAACCATCCGTCGAAACGACGGGTATTAAAAAAAGATTATTTTTTGGACTAAGTAATTTAAAAAATCTGAGTTTTTTTTTACAGTTTGGTTCCTTCATATGTTTGTGAATAAATGTGCATTATTTAAATTCACCTTATTTATTTATTTATTAAATTAAAATATTTTTTCTTAGACCTCTAAAGAAATTGGAAGATTTTGTAAATAACCACTTTGACATGCAATATCAATGAAAATTTTTAATAAAATAATCTGTTTTTTTACTTAATATGGTACGTAAAAACATTAAAAGTAATAAAATCATAAATTTTTTTTTCTTTTTAGCGCAAGTGACACAAAAATCAACTTTATGTTTACCGCATATTTTGATATGATATAATGCTGATTTTTGTAATTTCCGAGGGAACGGTATTTGAAATAATTGACGAATCACGTTCCACGTCTGAAGACAAGTCTGGTGGTGGGTTTACATAACTTTCCTCATAATATGATGGTTAATAATTATGATTACTTTGCACATCATCTTCCACCAGAAAGTCTTCGGACTCACGGGCAGGATTAGCATCCAGGGCATCGTTAGTAACTTCTTATAGTAGTAGATTTATTATTTTATCGTTTTTTAATGAAAACAAGATGAAAATCTAAAAAAATCTCAAATTTATTAAAAAAATGTATGCAGGCACTCGAACTAAATTACTTACGGTAAAGCTAACCATCCGTCGAAACGACGGGCAAAGATCAAATATCTTAAAAACTATAAAACTTACCCGTCCACTGTCTACACCACTGCAAAGGACTCCCGGGCCTCTGAGTTGGCTAGTCGAGACAAAACGTTTGGACGTGGCATTAAAAAGTTAGAACGTTATTTCTTTTCAATGCCCGTCGAATCGACGGAGGTTAGCTATCTAGGGTTAAAAAAATGCGAGGTTTCTGATTATATTATGTATTATAAATAAATACAAAATAAGCTATGTTCATCAGAAAAAAATATATTTTAAAGGTGAAATATTTTTTCGAATTGTTCCAGTAGTTTTGAGTTTATTCGTTACAAACATACAATAATACTACAAATATTTCCTCTTAGTATAGACTAGTATAGGAACTAGCATTTCTTATTAGAAACGTGCCGTTTGCATGTGTTATATCGAATAATCTATTTATAACATAAACAACAAATATGCAATATCTCGACTATGCCACATCCATCACTCAACAGCGTTTATTGAATCAGATGATTGTGCTCATGATCGTATTTGTAAGCATTTGAATTACTTGAAAGGAACGATAAGAATTTCAAGTAAATACTTCCTAGTGATACCGAATGGGAGTGGATAAAATAAATTATATTGCTGAGATAATAACATGATGTACAGTCAGCGTCAAATTGTTCGTGACACCCAAAGTAGCCAAAAAGTTCGCAACACGTCTTTGTTACAATTGGAATAAGGTTGTCAACTTTTTGGCCACTTGGTTGGGTGTCACGAACTAATTGACGCCGACTGTACATGTAATTTACTTAATTTATTTAATGAAACAGATGTGCAATTTATTATAGAACTTCACAATTGTCTAGTTGACACCATTACAATCATTCCAAGACACAAACTGTACAATTTTAGTCGTTAAATGCAATTAATTTTCAAATTAAAACTGTAAAATTAAATTTTCTGTTGGTTTGAAATCAATTATACTACAATGAGGTAGAAGTGACGTCATAGATTCTAATGCAAACAAATACCATCCACAATTTACACACTTAACAAAACATATTATAGGAATTTTGGGAAACTAGGGAGAAATAAAAAATAATATGGCATGGCACAGAACGCAATGATGTAAACAAGGAAAGCAAATACTTTTGTATGTAATTTAACAAAAGTTTATTCAAAATGCAAATGAGTAATGCACGTAATTCTACAATTTGTAATTATACAATGATTATGAATATTTGGCAATCGCATCATGTTATCGAGAGATCAAATCGCACAGAAAATACACATCGATAACGTTATCACACATTATTTTCAGATTCGTTACTTTTTTCGTATCTTTCACTTTGTTTTTAGGTGAACCAACACAACGTGTCCGTGGCACTATAAACAATGCACTGAGTCTACGTTTGGCATGCCGCCACGGCAGTGAACATAGTCTATTTATAAAAAAAAAAATACAAACCACAGCTGATATTTCAATTTTAAATTCTATTTCTTAAAGAATAGGGATCAATCAATATCGTTAATAGTGTCACCCCTATTAGGAAAATGTTAGACAAAGGTTGGTCGTTTGAAGGTCTGTAGAACTGAGTATGGATTGGAGTTTTCCTGTTTTATTATTATGCCCATTATTAGAAATGATAATTTTTGAGGTGAACGGCCAAGCTTTACAATGTAACTACTTAAAAACAGCCGTTTGGGCTGATGGGTATATCCCTAGTCTACCTATGGGTCCAAGAATTACAATTTTCGAATGAAGTTGCCGTTCGAATTCCGCTCACGATAAAGTTAGCGTGATGAGCACGAGTATTAGCTAAAGGTGCGTTATCCCGTACCAGTTCAATCTTTCTTTAGGACATGCCGGACAGTGCAATTGGTGTGACAGTTGGCACAATTTTTTTAAAGGTTACGGTCAAGGTCCGATCAGCTTTTGTTTAAGAGTGTTCTAGCAGATATGCTCATGGTAATGCCCAAGGTCTACTGTACATGGAACCGTATCATCATAAACTTTGCCGCTCCCGACTAAAGAGTTTCATAGTTTTTATTTTATGTAAGATACATGTGGAATACGCACTCTCCGAGCGTAAAAAGCGGATGTGAAGCACTGCGGAGAGTAAGCCTAGCTACAGTCAGTGTCAAATAATTCGTGACACCCAAAGTAGCCAAAAAGTTCGCAACAAGTTTGTGTTACAATTGGAATAAGGTTGTATGTCTTCTCTGTCAACTTTTTGGCCACTTTGGGTGTCACGAATTATTTGACGCTGACTTTACAAGCCATTCGGAACTCACAAGTTTAGATCACACTGGTCAATATTTTCATAGAATGTCGTTTCACAATAAAGGCCATAGGCCAGTATGACACGAGCCTAAATATGTACATGTCAGCATTTTTTATAGGTAATCGTATCCTTGGAAAGACCTTTTTACCTATCGAAAACGGACTCGCGTGGAAAGTTTCACTATCTAAATCTAGTTGGCACAAGTTAGCCTAATGAAATGTTTTCGAAGCACACTGCAGTAATGTTGTAAATCACATAACATGCCGACAAAAATATCTAAAAACATTACCCTCATTTGCTTTAAAGTCGGATAAATAAAACATGAAAATCCAGTTAGCTTGAGCATTTAGACAACCTAAATACCATTTTACACGCGCTGATATTATGTTATTGGTGACAGTATTTATAAGCTAACTAGCTTTCCGCCCGCGGCTTCGCCCGCGTGGAATTTTGTCTGTCACAGAAAAACTTTATCGCGCGCGTCCCTGTTTCAAAAACCGGGATAAAAACTATCCTATGTTCTTTCCCGGGACTCAAACTATCTCTATGCCAAATTTCATCAAAATCGGTTGCGAGGTTTAAGCGGGAAAGCGTAACAGACAGACAGACAGACAGAGTTACTTTCGCATTTATAATATTAGTTGGGATAATTTGGCTTACTTATACTTTATTTTAGTATTCTGTGTTTTCATAAAACCATGCTGACAATCGGGTCCAATGACAGTTTATCTTTCCCCCGGGACGGGCCAAACTTGAACTACACTGGTTGGGTTTTTATTGGCAGTCCAGTCAAGCTGTAGATCCTGACTACACAGGAGTTGCAGCAGTGGGAACGAGAGGTGGGAAAATTATAGATATTTTCTTGAAAATCAGATTTTGACAGTTGAAGGACGTATTTGGATTCGTTCGTTCGTTCGTTTCAGTCGAAAGACGTCCACTGCTGGACAAAGGCCTCCCCAAGGATTTCCACAAAGACCGGTCCTGCGCCGCTTGCATCCAGGCACATCCCGCGACCTTCACCAGATCGTCGGTCCACCTAGTGGGAGGCCTGCCCACGCTACGTCTTCCGGCTCGTGGTCGCAACTCAAGAACGCCTGCCCCAGCGGCCATCAGCTCTACGAGCTTTGTGCCCCGCCCACTGCCACTTGATTTTAACGATTCTGCGGGCTATTTGGATTAGGAGGATTGAATATAGCAACCCGACCTAAGCCAAGAAAACCTACATTACAGATTGCGATCAAAATTAAACTTACTGAGGTTCTGGTGATCTGGTCGCATAGAACCAGCCCCATAAGTAGTCCCATATAGAATCCGACATACATGAAACACTCGCGCACAACTTAAAAATGACCTACGATTTTCAAAACTGTATGTTTTTGTAGGTTTCATACGAGTATACTTGTAAATATAGGTATGTCGCAGTCAAATAGTTAAATAAGACTCAACAATGTTTATAAAGATTTAGATCTATCCATAAATGAAGATAAGTCGTGGGTTAGAACTTGTTAGAAATCTATCCAAAGTGAAAACTGTTTATTTGTATTTGATGTTAACTGAACATTTTCGTGACAGCTTTAAAGGTACAGTCAGCGGCAAATATTTCGTGGCACCCAAAGTTGCCAAAAGTCGACAACACAACCTTATTCTATTTGTGATAAAGACTTTTTGGCTACTTTGATGTCACGAACTAAAATGCTAACTTTACCTTTAAGGCTATCATGAATGTTACTCTGTCTCAGGCCCGGTTTCCAGCCAAGCGGAGGGGAAAGAGGTTTGAATAATAAATATTTCGATAATAGATATTTCCACAACTCCGTTCAGATTCGGTTTGAAAATCTGATTTTACACATCTCTCATCTACGCTTTGGTGGAAACTAGGTCTTGAGAGTCTTAGGGGGCTACACTGACCAAAAATGAAACTATAACCCAGGTGCTGCGAAATTACCTGGCCGGGTTACACGCGGGAAACTTGACCTTTACTGGTTGGGTTTTTATTGGCGATCAAGCTCTAGATCCTGGCTACACAGGAGTTGCAGCGGTGGGAAAGAGAGGTGGGAAAAGTCCCGTAGGTACCGCGGAAGTTACAACAGTGCTGCGAATTTATCTGGCCATTTCAAATTCTAACACACCACGCATTCAAAGTTTTCTGCTATCAGATTCAGCGCCAATTCAGCCAGCATTCCAAAAAAAGGAAAAAAAGGGCTATCCGTTCAACTGACTGATTCAACCACTTGACTGCGACTTATGCATGCCTACTTTTTTAACAACAAACAAAAAACAAATGAACATACGACATACATATTCATTTATGCAAAAATTTTAACTATTTCTTAAAAGAAAATCTGTCGGAGAAGAAATAAGCCGCATCATAGACTTTATGGCTGGTTTACACGTATTAAGTAGTTAAGTAGGTAACTAAATTTTAATTTAATTTTAGGGTCATTCCATGACAAATGTTACCGAGGGTGAAAAACTAAATATGTTCTTTTCGCATTAAATCTGATGAATTTTGAAAGTAAACATTCCAAATTATTATGTGCACAAAAAAAAATCTGAAAGAAACAAGTAATTTTTAAGTTATTAGTCTTCAAAGTCTATACTTAAGTCAACTGTCTGAATGATCATTTTCTCTCTAATTTATTGGTAATACGATTTTAAAAAAACTATCAATCTGTGAAACGTTTTGCCACTATATGATTCGAGGGTATTTATCATAGTATTGGTAGATAGCGTCATAGTCCCAAAAAAATTTATAATCATCAAGTTTTAAGTGTGTTTTCTTGTTACTTCGGCGATGTAACACCCGAAACAGAAAAACAGGTATTTGTTTTATTATTGTACCTTACACATGGATTAGGGTAACAATATTTGGTAAAAGTAAGGTCATGGTAGTAATGATTTCAAATACTAACTAATATCTGAGCATGATACTAATTTAGTATGTTTCTTTCTTGATTAAAAACTGTAACACCCGAAACGTTTCGGGCATTACATTTTTATTTGTATGTCGATAATGTGTGTATATTGCTTGGAGAAGTGAAAAAGTATTACTGTGAGGGTCCTTTGACCTCCCACTAACGCTGACATCGGAAAAGGAGTTATATTTCTCAATTTAAGACTTTTTTGAAATGTCGACTTAACACTAAAATTAAGGTATTGCTAAAAAGTGTTGATGTTTGACATTTCCAATAAATATCGTAATTAGAAATTAAGGTAATGCTATTTCAAGCCAAAAACAATAGAAAAAGCTATACTCTGAGGAAAAATTAAACTTGAACTTTGTTTATTTTTTAAAAAAAGCTGCTTCGTAATTTCAAACCAGAATTCGCTCTATTTGTGTTTATTTGTTGTACTCCTTATTTCGTAGTACCTAGAGACTAATAAAACACCGATTTTATCGATAAAACGCGTTGAATTTTCGTACTCGTAACACCCGAAACAGAACCATTGTAACACCCGAAACAAAGAAAAAATTTATAAAAAAATAGTAAAATGTTTTATTTAACAGTGATTGTATGTTACATGGTTTGTAAATTTCATACTTTAGAAGTCCTGTAAGTTTTAGGTATGATTCCTTAAGAAAATTCGCTAAATTTCGAGTAAATGCAGCAACAGTCAGAACATAGAGGCAAAATCTCGTAACGCCCGAAACGCACACTTTTCGACTCATATTTTCGTTATCCTACATTCTAAGCTATACAAACTTTATTATTTAGATAAAACAACTAAAAACGGACAGATTAAGGCACTAACATTATTAAAATACTATTTCAAAATACATGAAATTGTTGAATATGTGTGTACGAACGTAACACCCGAAACGATGGAATGACCCTTTAAGTGATCAAATTGCAGGGTAACTAAATTTTAACTTAATTCCAAACGTCAAGCTCTTGTTTACTATGAAACTGCTCGTCAAAACCGTGTCAAGTGACAAGCCCCACTCACCAACTTGACAGAAAAATCAAGTAAAAATTTAGTTACCTACTTATCTACTTAACACGTGTAAATCAGCCTTTACACTAGTCCCGAAGCATGCATGAATTGCATGATAGTGTATTTTTTATTTATTACATAAAAACATTTAACCAATATTATAAATGCGAAGGTAACTCTTATCTGTATGTTTATTTTTTGTTAGTTGCATTTTCGTATTTAAATCACTGCACCGTTTTAAAAACTTGAGATAGATCCAGGTAAAACTATAGGATAGTTTCTATCCCGGTTTGCGAAAGGGGGACAAGGGCAAGATGAAGACCTTATTCAAGATTAAATTGTCTAAGTAGCTCATGGTGAGAACAGCCGCTCGAAAGCGAAAGGTCGTGGGTTCGATTCCCAGCATAAGCAATTAAATTTTACAAGTTATTTAAAATAAACTCTACGTTTACGAAGACATTGTCGACAGCTAGTTTTTTATTTATGGAGCTTACTAACTTGAAAATAAATAAATAACGTGTTAACAAATAGAACCAATCTATGGTGGCAAAATTATCGTTATTTTTTCAGACACAAGGAACAAAATTGCGCTCGCGCATCTCTTCAATGTCGCGCACGAGAATGCACTCATTTGTGCATCCGAACTCCTTCCTGTTACATCGCTTTCTGGTGTCATGCCAATATCCGCCATTTTTTTTCCACTAATTAATTATTAACTTTTGACTCGACAATGTTACATCTCAATAATTGGTAATTAAAAACTAATCTGGTTATTATAAAATCTAATGTATTTATGAATTTACAAAAAAAGTTTTCAGATATGTTTATATCCGTTGCCTGGTACCCATAGTACAGGCTTTGCTTAGTTTGGGACTAGATGGCGCAGAGTAAAATATCACAAGATATTTATTATTTATTTATCTGAAATAATTTAAGCTGCAGTTTTTTAACCTGCCCATGTATTCATTTTTTTATTAGTAAAATCCATAAACTGTAAGTTAACTCTAGTAAGGTATTCAAACTTGATTAGCCAATACGTATTCTTAATGTAAATAGAATAACACCGGAATAAATAATTTCAACAAGCACTCGTAAAAATGAAGTGGAGATAAAAGAATAAACACCACTGGGTTAGTTCATTGAACCTAGTCAGGTTTTTATTTTTAACTAGCGATCCGCCCCCGGCCTGAGCATAATTCACTTACATGAATAAGCACACATTCCGCGTGAATCACTATGAAAACCGTATCAAAATCCCTACAGTAATTTCGCTGAGACAAGTTTTTGAGACGATTTCCCTATAATGTTTAACCAACATTGACGTAAATCTTAAAAAATCATAGTTAGTGCTTTTTCCCTGATACGGAATGAACGCATGTGCAAAAATGCAATGTATTTAATTATTTCATACATGTTTTCCCTATTAGGGGATACACACAAGCGGATAGGCCGCGTGCTTAAATCCGCATCACAAACGAAAAAGCACTTAGGCCCGGGCTTAACTACGCAGAGCCAAAAATCTCAATTCAGTTAAAATAGTAAGACACGGGTCTTAAAATCTTATAAGTTTAAAATCTTATATCTCAATTCACACATCAGATTTTTGGGTTAAGCGTGCGCATCTTCTAATCTAGTGAACTTTTCATATTAAATTCATTTCTGAGGTAGGAGATGAACACGCTCAAGCTAGAAATCCGAATTTAGAAACCAGGTCATAAAATATGGGTTTATTTACATTATGATTTCATTCTTAACTTCCTCGTTTATTGCGTCGACGTTGTCCTTATTTCTGCAGCACAATATTTTAATTAAACTTTTGTACACCATTTCAGATTTTTTTATACAACACTTGACTACTGTATTCACTCATCACTATAACTTGACACTTGACCATATGTTATGGCAGCAGTTGTAAAAATGCAACTCCCCGTTTTCATGTCCCCGTAAATACTATAAAAATCTTGCAACAAAAGGGGGTAATGTCACTGTTTACTATTGCACTATTCCTTATCTTATCACCTATTGATAAATTATTGAACAGATTACTAGTCTCTCAATCATCATTCATTTTGTGTTTCAAGCAGATAAAAGATTATTTTAATTAAAGGGCTCAGGTTTGAAAGAGAAGATTATTATCGGTATCTACAAGTTTGATATCAATATTTTTCTTAATTATCAGCTTAACATTTGGACAACACGCATAAGTTGTAATATTAAGTTAAATTATGACTTAATTTAAAGTTTAGATCACACANCTAACTGCGTCAGAAGGAGGGTTTTTTTTTAATATTATTCTTATAATAGCTGCTTTATCGGGGGTTTCAGGTGTACCTCACAAATTGGTGCAGAGCAATGGTGAAAATGTTATGACCATGTAAATAAAATTGAAAAAAATTTCATCAAGTAAGATGTAAGATAGAATAATTGAAATGTTGGAAGAGCAATTTATAATAAATAACTCTTTATCTTGATCATCTATTGAAGAAAAGGAATGGAATATTTATCCTGGAATGGAATCCTTAGAATCGTTTTCTAGTTCTGAATGAAGTGATTAGTTATAAGTATGATACATAATAAAATTAGTTACATAAAGTAATATACGATTTACTTATTTTTCAAGACATTTTCCTATTATATTACTGACGGGATTGCTACCATTACCTTAGTTTTGAGTTTCCAATATTTCGGCACTGTTGCAAGTGCCATGGTCACGGAGTAACTGAAGAAATTAAAACCAGACATCGTTCAGATGTGCGTTCAAAAGACCTGAGATTTAAAAAAATACCACGTTTTGTTTAAACAGTAAGCGAAAAAAAGTGACTTGAAAATGGAATACAAAATGATAAGGTATGGTAAATGATAAGTCTTTATCAATGAAGAAGCAGAAGTTCAATTTCATGTGACCTCCATCTAGGCTAGTTTCCATCGTCACTCAAAGTTTGGCTGCGGTCTCAAATTTGGGCTTAATTGAGGTATTTTTTGGGTGAGAGGCATAAGAACTAATGCCGTTTTATATCAAAAATTCATACTTAGAGGTAATCAACCAGGTACAAAGTATTTCCTTGTAAGTTAGTCTGCCACTCTTTAGTAAGTCCCGAAATCCCCGCTTCGGCACCCCTACTAACCATTCTAACCATTGTACACAGATAATATCTTACATGCAGCTTTTCATGTTACTACGTCACATATTCTAAATCCGCGCGGAAAATCGCTCCTAGCGGAAGAGCGCACTTTGAGCTTGAATATTTCAGTCATTTTTAAAGATATCAAAAAAGTAAAAATACAGTATTCATTCTAATTTTTTGTAGTTTTTTTTGGCATCTTCAACAAAAATTGTGCGCCATGTCCATTGTTTTTTGTTAACATTGGTCTCAGAGTGCAATTTTGGTCCAAAAAATGTACAACTTTTAAATCTGTTTATAATGTTGGATCCCAAATAGTTATATAAATAAACTTTGAATATAAAATAACTATAATAAACACTTTTATCATTTACATAGTAATTCTATACATAAATTGCTTATAAACTAATTTACAGTGATTTTAAATTGGCTTACCAGAGTAGGCCGCGCGTGTATTCGTGTAAAAAAGGGGGCGCGTGTACTGCAGTGTTAAGCAATCATCGTTTGTGATCACTTAAGAATCAAGGGGTGCTCCCTCAACCAAAAAATGTATGAATCGTCGATGACTTTTAGATCTCAAATACTCGACGCACAGTGGTGCTACAGCTTTGGTGTCATAGTAACAAATGCTAAGGCAGACGTATTCTGTCAGTATACAGCACTTTTTTTTGTTGGCCGCCACTTTTGATTTTGGACCAAAAATATATGAAACGTGGATGATGTCCTTTATCCTAAAGGCTAGTTTTATCCTACAACATCTTGGTACCTACCTGGTACGCTAGTTAATCCCATTGTCACTATCATGATTTCGACTTTACTGGGGATTACCTATTTGAAAAAATATTTCATGATTTTTTTGAGGTTTTTAACCAATTTTTTGTGTAGCCCCTAAAGTTTGAAGTGACAACTTTAAATTCTTACGAGTGACTTCCAAGGTGAAACTCAGTGTTTACTAAAGGAGCTCTAGACGTTTTTTCTTGCAAATTATACACAGAAGTCCAAAATTATCTTACGTCATTGGCGCTCACCGAGTGTGAATATCTACGAATGCGGCGTGCGGATTTATTGCGTGTGTACAACCCTTACGGAAACTGCTTCGGATGGCACCGACGCTTACACTCTCGTGGTGAAACGTCACCATTATTGTTAGTACAGGAATAAGAACAATGAAGTGAACAGACTAATATCATCGTTTAGAATGTTTTTTTATCATCTAGGAGGCTTGGCATGCAATTCACTGTAATTTGAATATTGGTGTCTGAGTTAAATAATTTATTGAATCGATGAAAAGTATTTGAGATATTGAGCAATGTTCAAAAATACGTGAGAACTTTTTTTTGCAAGACTTACGAGCTAAAAATTACGAGCAGAAAAGATAAACACGCTATCCTAATCCAGCATATTTGCCAAGACATCTGAAGCTACGCATTGCTTGCATCAACGTATTGTGAGGAAAGAGAAACTACGAGTGTACTAGGTACGAGTACGTATGCAAAACGGTTAGCATTATGAAATGCTTGAGGATATGTCACGTGACACTCGAGCCCCATCACTTCACGCTCAGCAATTATTTCCAATGAGGGTTTTCGCGAATGAAAGATCCGCTAGATGGCGGGACGTGGATGTGAGGTCTGACTGCTGCGTGATTGGTGGATTTTGACATATCTGTCAATGTCATGTCAAAAATAACCAATCATGCAGCATTTGGACCTCGAGTCTACGTATTGCCATCTGGCAGATTTTTCATTCGTGAAAACCCTAATTAAAACAAAACCTAGTGCATAACTTTAGAACCACGGCCTTAAACTTAAATTAAAAATACTTCGCGAACTAGGCCACTGTAAATAGAAATCGCAGCTGTATTTTCCGTTTAGTATGAAAGATTCACAGCGCGCGCATTAGTGATGTCACAATTGCGAGTGAACTTGCGATGTACATTGTACACGCATGCTGCAGATTTATTGCACGCGCGATAGAGCTTGCGCGCCACAGGGAAGACAGAAGAGACAGCTCATTCTATCCTAAAATAATCCAATAGTATTTTTAAGAACTACTAAAGAATAAACTTGAAAAAAATAACAATTAACATGAACTAATGTTTAATCCCACCAAAAACATTCTGTAAAAAACTAGCCAAGTCTCGATGGAGCTGCTTGTTTATCTCTAAAAAGTAATGAAATCTAGACAAAGTCGTGCCAAGTCTATGGTTCTTTACTGCGATTTCTTTTTTATTATAGTTAATGTTGTGTGACTTGGCCGTTGAAGGGTACAAAACCAGGTGCTCCATGACACCATTGCACCAATCTGTTGCCAGAACCACTACCCATTGACGATGGAAAATTGCCACTTGGAAAACGTTGATTTAATAACCAGTGAATTGTAGGCTTAATAAAGCTGCGTATTTCAATAATACTTATGCATAATTATTGATTATCTTAATAAAGATTGTTCAACGGCCAAGTCACACAACATTAACTATAATAAAAAAGAAATCGCAGTAAAGAACCATAGACTTGGCACGACTTTGTCTAGATTTCATTACTTTTTAGAGATAAACAAGCAGCTCCATCGAGACTTGGCTAGTTTTTTACAGAATGTTTTTGGTGGGATTTCACTTCTTTTTGTAGAATGTGGCATAATTATTTAACGTCGTCGTCCTTTAATATTATCGTCATTTTTTTTACGATATTAAACACGTCTACCTTTAAAATGGACAACGAATCAGAATTATAACTAGAGAGGAAAAAAAATCTGGACACCGCGGTGCAGAAAATCGACGCTCAAAGTGCTAGCGCCATCTAGCGGTGAGCGGTACAGGCGAACACCACGGTGCCGGTGTGGCGCTAGTAGTATTGATTATTATGAATGTGGTGTTACTCCAGATCTTCGATTTTCCTAGTTTTGATAGTTTTCCCTTTATGTGGCCATTAAACCCTAACTCTGTACCAAATTTCAGCTCTCTGAGTTAATGGGAAGTACTAGTTCTATTTTGATGATCATCAGTGAGTGAGTGTCATAAATGCGAAACTTTGCTTTCGCTTAACTTCGGAACTAATTGACCTACAGACTTGAAATTTTGGATTTTAAGTGTGTGATTATAGCTTACTAGATGACGAAAATTTCTGCGTTCTGGTCTTATCTAAAGGTTCTCAAATAGAGGCCTGAAAATGCGGCGAAATGGTTCCAGTAAAGGATGGTACGGCAGTGTTTGCTTCGCGCTAGACTTGGCGGGGGCACTGCCGTGCCCCCAGATTTAAAGTAAAGTTCATCACGATTCAGTTTGAGTTTACAGCATTTTAGATTTTTGAAATAAATGCGAAGTATGCGAATGTTAATGTATGCTCCTAATCCTAAAAAAAATATTTGAAGCATTAACGGGGATGTTGCCATGGTTAATAACATTTTCGTTTTCAGTATACGTATTAGATTTTCATCACTCTTACTCATAGTGAAATATTGACATAACATTGATATTACAAATCCTGTCAATTCAGCGATCAATGCACGCACGATACCACATCAACGACATGACATTTTAAACAGTTGTATTTTGCAACTAAGATCTATTGACTGATGTGCACAGTTTTTCTCTTTGCAAGCCTCCTCCACGTTCAAATGTCACCTGGCTGATCTCATTAGACTATGGCTCATGTCCCACGACGTGTCCCGGCCTGTTTGTTCCGGGCGGGATTTATACGCGCGCAGATACGCGCGCGATAA